TTCTTGTACTTCTAATTAAAAATATAATAAATTTTAGTTATTTAAATTTTACATCAATTTAATTTTAATTACTTGCATTATTTTGTTTTCAAGCAATCTTTGATTCCTGCCCTTAAAAGTATTTTATTTTAATTTTATAAATTTCAGTTATTTAAATTTTATTTTCGTTTAATTTTAATTATTATTAATATTTTATAGCAATTTGATTTTAATTTTTATTATTTTGTATTAATTTATTTATTTTTACTCTTTCATTTATCCTCTTATTTACTGATTTAGAGATAATGATATGTGATAATGAATATATTTTTATAATTGTGTTTTTATAATATTTGACACGGGTTAGTTATATTGTATTAATTTAGCAATTTGTTTATTTTTTTTATCAGTATTTTTTGTGCGACTATAATATTGTTATCAATGTTTTTTTTTTATTATAAAAAAAACTATAAGTGTGATAGAGTATAAGAAAGTAATTAGTGAAAGATTAATATTATTTTATTAATTACATATGTCTATATGTACACAAGCATAATAACGTATAAGCCCTATTAAAAATTATATTTAAAGAGAAGATTGATTGCTTAGTTATGAAGATCAGGATCCCAATTACCCAATACTTTAATTAACGAATGTTCAATAACCGAATCACAGTCTTTCTATCGTGGTTATAAGAACTTGCTGTGTGACCAATATGGTCCTTAAATTTTTATTTGAAATGCATTTTTTTTGTATGATTTCCTTATATGTTATTTAATTTGAGAATTTTTTATAAGTAATTCCAATATAAATTCAAACTTTTTTAAATTTTAATCTATCATTCCAATATAAATTTGATTTTGAGACCAATATCCGTCGGTAATGGGATTTGATTGTTGTGTTGGATATAGTTGTTATCGACGAATATATTTGAATTAATTATCAAAGGTACTATTCATCAGTAATTATTGACAAATTTCTCAATTGAAAATTTGATTTTGTTCACTATACCGATTATTGACAGATTATATTCGTGGGAAATATCCATTGATATTATTTAAATTTCTTTCCGTCTTAAATATAAGATAAATTAACTTCAATTGAAGTTAAATATAATGCAAATTAAGCTCAATGACATATAATTTAAACTATCTATAATAATATATTTGTTGGTAATTATCTATAATATTTTTTGACGGATTTATTTATTGGTAATTATCGAAAAATTATTTAAATCTATGATAATATTTATTGAGAATAAAATTTTTAACGAATAGAAAGGTAAATTTATGGATGAATTTTTATTATTATCAACAGATTTTATTTATCCATAAATCTATTATTTCACGTAATTGTACTATATTGTACTATATAACTTATACTCAATCTTATTCATTGAAGGAAAAAAAATCAAACAAACTTATAATTTTATGCCTTTTTCTTTATAATTTATAATTATAAATTTGAGTAAAATATTATTTTTTATTCTTAACCAATTAAAAATATTTGAAGGAGCTCTAAATATCATGTTAAAATATCAAGAGTTTATTGTAACAATTATTTATCCTAACAAAATCTTTAATGAAAATAACTTAAAGTAAATTGTTCCAGAAAATTTTAATTTGTGATATTTACTGTGTTCGTAACATCATTTAATTTCACTTTAACAGAAGAAACTCTAAGATCATGCTTGATAATATTATTTTCTCGATTTCTTAAGTTAGAATATTTTTTCAATAAATATTTTATTGGAGACACATTCAATTCCTTTAAGTTAAGATTTATTTCCTTCCTATAAATTGTTTGTAGAGAATAGAAAATTATTGCTTTAACAATAGTATATAGAAATCAATTTTTTTTTAATGTGAATTGCTTGAAATATTTTAAAATGTGTTTCTCTCAAAAAATTTAATTGTAACAAGGATCGTTAGTTACATTTTTCTAATATATGAATTGTTTTCATTCAAAATATTCTAAAGAACTTCAAATAATTCATATAAAAAAAATGCAATTTTAGATTTTATGTTTAATATTAAAAAATAACTTTTTACTCTCAAGAAATAAATCTCACCCAAAGAAACAAGTGTTAGATAATTAGAAACCAATAACATATTTAAGGAATGAAAGATGCTTTAAATAATTCCTAATCATATGCTGCGTTCTAAATGGAATGCTACCTTAACAATTGATGGACTTAGGTATCATTGAATGTATCTCAATAATGGTTATTTAGGTACCTTCACCTATCAATCTTTGTCAATTGCCTTCAAAGTGCCTAAAAATTAAATATAGTCCTCTACACTAGAAAATCTCATTTATCTTCATCAACTGCAACACACACATATTAATTAATCATAAAAAGTTCATTGTTTCAATTTCCTCAATTGAATAAATGGACCACTACTATTAGTTTATTTATCTTCTAAAGAGTCAAAATATAAGATTAAATATGTTTTAGTTAATATTCATCTTTGGATTAATTACTCCTATAGAAGCATTCAGAAAAGAAAATATATTTTATGACAGTTTTTAATTGTTATTGTTATTATGTTAAGCTTTTTAACATTTTTTTTAAACAAAACACTAAATTCAGTTATTATATTGCTACGTAACACTAAAATTATGATCATTTTTCTCAAAATTAATTACTGATATAAAAAACTAATTTTGAAAAAATTATTTTATTTGCTTCTGTTAAAGTGTTTTTATCCTCAGCACTATAATTTAAGGACCATTTTGACGCTGAAATGTTGAACCCAGACACTCTAATGAATACTGCATTATTTTTTAAAAGTTACGAACATCAATTAAACTATTATTTTTATGTTATAAAATATTGGTTTAGTCTTCAAATCTAAACCATTTTAAATTTATTATAAAAAAACTGATAAAATATTAATTTAGTTTGGTTAGAATCTTTTTAAAAATGAAAATTAAACTACATTTAAATTTTATGTTTAATTTAAATGATTTATTAGTGAAAAACTGAACCAAAATGCAACACAAGTACCTTTACTTGTGAGCTATTTCTCATCATGATTCATATAAATGATATAAATGTAAGTCGCAGATGTTTCTTTAACTTTCCCCACAAATAAAAGAACTCATAGTTTGGATAACTTATAATTAAAAATCACAGCATTGAATTATAATTTTTAACTTTTTTCAAAATCTAATACTATCATTTCATTGATTCGTCTAAAAATCTATGTCTAAAAGAAATTATTAAAAAAATATCCAAAGTAAAAACACACAACAATTTATGATAATTCGTCTGTCATAAAACAAACGTTGGAGATTTCTTTTAAATCTTGTTTAATTATCATCTAAAACACCATAATTATTATATATTATATAATATTTTTCACCAATTTTATATCATGATAAATCCATTTATATTTTAATCTTTTAAGGAATTTTTCATCAATAATAAAAAATGATTTATTTTTCTCAATCTCTAATACTTATAAAATCTTATTCTTATGTATTTTAATTTGATTATTAATATGAATTTGTATTTTGAAAAGTAATAGGTGTCTGTGAATGTGAAATGTTTTTAAATTATGTGAAAAAATAATGCTTCCTTAGAGTTGACAACGTAAGACCATTAAAATTTAGGCTTAAAATATAAGATCTATTTGGTCCAACCTACAATGAACTTCTGAAATTTTAGCCCAATAACGTTAGCCCATTGTAGATTTATATTTGGATATTAAAAATTTAGTTTTTTATTTATTTTTAATTAACTCTAACTTGACTAATGGCCCGTTGATCATAATATAGGACGTTCATATGATGGTTATTGAAATAATATAAAGATACTTAACAAATTATTAAAATTATATATATTAAATAAAATTTAAATTGTATGAATAAAATCTCTTGTTAGAACTTTATCTTCATCCAATAAACACAAAGCTAACAACGCTACCTTAAACAATGAAATGTTATCTTGATATTTCTTTTTATTTACAGGAATGAACACAATAGAGAATATAAAAAGAACTTACACATTTTTGGATTAATCTAGTTAATAGCAGAAGGAAACTAATCGTTATATATTCAATGTAACTTCTTCAGTTCACATGGTTTGGTGAAAAGTTGTGTATCCAATGACTGCATTTAAGTTACAGAAAGTGGAAACTTGTAGTTGCTTTTAGTTATATATCCAACGGCACCATCATCAAAATCAGAGACGTGTAAAGTGAATATGATTGATAAAGAAAATCATATTCTAAAAAACAAATGGGAGTATGTGATATCATCCCTCTAGGTTAAAAAGGTCATGAAGAGGTTGAAGGAGTGGGTTAGAAATGGCTTTAGCAGAACATGAATTTGGTGGTTTGATTTAGAGGGTCCACCTGCTGCAACACAAGTGACATAAAGCCTCCTCCATCAAACTATGCATGTCATAGAAATCCTCTTTCCCTTTATGACGTTTCATCGTTTGTCACCTAAGTATTACCAACTCCATGTTTTGCCTCTTATCTAAGAACAGTTCATTGGGGTTGGTTTCTCTTAGAAAATATTATAGCGATTATGCAAGTGGACGAAGAAAGAATCAATGTTATTATTGTAACTTCCAGCATCCACCAATTTCAACCATCCAGCGATTACAAGAATTTAGATAATTTTATTGAATTTTCTTGAGATATAATTTTCATCTTAGTAAATTAATTTTATATAAGATAATATAGTTTTTTATTTTATTAAATTGATTTTTTATAAGAGTTCTAATAATATTGAAAATCTTTTTAAACGTGAAAAAGAGTGTATTAAAAAATATTAATTGATTAAATTTTATTTATTGTCTTTCCTTTAAAAAAAATTCGGGTTAGTATTTTATATTTTAACTTCATTTATAATTGCCCTTTTATCTTATTTATAACAATTATAATAAAGATGGATTATCTATTTGGTATGCATAATTAAATTATCATATTATATCTCATTAATACTGAAAAGAAAACACATTCTGCATTGATTTTCATAACACCTGTGTGTACTTTAGATGCTTGTAATTAACTAAGATACACATCAAACTGGAGAAACTTTGCACTTGTCACTTTTCCTTCTTTTGGACTTGATCCTACTTTGTCGACAACCTTAACTGCAGCATAGCCATTGGCACTATAGTACTTCCCAGTGCCTCCAATAACTGCAACATGTGACTCAAGCACATCAGTCTTGTGCACTCCAAAAAGCCTCAGGCCATCTTGATACTCACCCTTCAAGAAACTTGCTGTGATTGCCACCATGTGGCTACTTCCATCCTCAGAGCTAACAACATACACCCCTTGTGCTTTTCCAAGTTTCTGTAGTTCATCTCCATCTCCTTGAAGTAGTTCCTCATCTATTGATGCCACTGATCCATACTCCAGCTCTTGAAGTGTTGCTCTGGTGGGAAAAGAGAAGCCAATAGTAGACAGATCAAGGGTTTGAGACGATGCAGTGAGTGGAATTGTTGGAGTGGATTGGGGTGTTTGACCAGTGACCTTAGTAGTAGCTGGTTTATCTGAATATTGTGTACTGCTACCATTGAGCATATCCCTCATTAGAAATGTTATACTTTGATGGCCATGGTTATGGTTAGAGGAAGGACTATTGCCAAGAGTTCTAGCTGAAGAAAACTCAGTCATAAACAGAAGTAACATGAACATCACCACAAGAGAAGGAATTAGTCTAGCCATTGTTGCATAGCTTTCTTTTCACGACAGTTTGCATTTGCATGCTAGGTTGATATAGTTAGGATTCAACTAAGTGTGGTGGTTAGAATATTACCCATGATGGAATGCTAAGTAAGTATCCATATTAATTACACTGTTTGACTTAGAACAAGCAAGATTAGGTAGTAGATAAATGAAACAATTAATTAAACTCACCCGATAATTAATTTAATTTTTCCCTTGTGATATTAACGGTGCAAAGAAAATTCCATAGTAAATGGTGCCATGAATTTGATGTTTGATTTTGAGGGTCCACCTGCTGCAACGCAAGTGACATAAAGCTTGATCCGACATACCATGCATTAGGTTGTTTGCATAAAAGTCCTCTTTCTCAGTGTGACGTTTCATCGTTTGTTACCTGCTATTCCGTGAACCACTCCATATCTTATTGTCTCTGGTTTCTGAACGCTAAATAATTTCATTGGAGTTGCTTCTTTCTGACCAAAAAAATAAAAGTAGACAAAATAAATTTTGGATCCATCCAACAAGTTGAACGATATTTATCGAATTTCACAAATATCTAATTATACCGCAGGTCTCGCTCAAGGTTTTAACGTTTTCTGAATAAAAAATTTCTACTTCTAATTAATATTTAAAATCAAAACTACAAGTGAATGTTAATGAACACAAAATTAAGCACTTCAATATGACAAAAAAAAATCTGTTGATTCAGACTAATATTGGTTTTATTATTCCTTATTTACTTATTCTTATATCAATCTCTTTACTATAGGAAATTTTAAGTGTGAATTTAAGTATCTTTATTGTATAAAAATAGGAAATTAAATTACGTATAAATAAAAAATGATCCATAACAGTAAGGTGAATCTCTTCAACTCGTATTTCATTAGTATTATTTGTCCCCGTTAATGTCTTGGAGAGACCAAAGCTTAAAGCATCAAGGTGAATATATAAGTCAAAGTAAAGTGGCCTCTAATTGCGTGTGCAGATTTATTTTTCCCTAATTTGAGGATGAAATTAGTTTGGATACGTGTAGAATTTTTGTGGAATAGAAAATATTTGTTACTATGCAGTGTCGCATCAGAAATCGACGTCAAAAGGTACCACAAAAATACCAGAGCTTGGTGTAGGCGATGATAAGGCAGCTATTGCAAACTGCGAAGAGGGTAATTGAAGGGTGGAGAGAGAGATATTTTGAACATGGTGCTTTCTTTTTGCTCCCTTTCTTTTGTATCTTTTTCTCTATTTTGATTATTATCTGCCATGTCTGATGTCAAAAGCAGAGCACAGCCAAATGAGATATTGGCAACGAAATTTCCACTACTACTAACAAATGAAAGTCACACTCACATTTGGGGACTACCTCATTTTGCATTGGTCCATACCCAGCCCTACTTGCTTCACCCATGTATAACCGTAAAATCAAAGGGATTACCTATGGATTCTGTACCGACTTTCTTAATATTATTCTAAAATGGTTTAATCATAATTAGGTATGCAAATTAACCACCTGTGACTCCCAGACCCCACTGGATCCTTAAATTAGCCACATATTCTCATTTTGCATATATGTTACTTAATTACTCTGTACCTCTGACAGCCTAGGCTTTAGCTTTTGATTCCTTTTAAGTCCAACAACTCATCAAGCCCCACTTCCTATAAATTGTCCCTTGTGCACCACAGATCTCACCCCAATTGAAATGAAAAAACCTGCATCATATATTCTCTCAGGGCCACCCCTACCTATTCACTGTATATGTTATAAATGTAAAAGTTGTTCTAATTTAACCATTAGTTTTGATTGTACGTACTTGTGTGAAATAGTTACGAAAAATTTGATAATAGTATAGTGTTGCCTGATTTATATAAGATTGTTTTTCGATAAAAGATAATACCAAAAAATATATATTGTGTAGAATAGGAATATATAGAGCTACATATATACACATATGTGAAATCATAGCTTAAAAAGAGTGTATATAGTCCCATGTTCTCTTCAATCTCGAACCTGTTATGCACTTTGCTTTGTTGTGTTTCATAAGGACCATGCATCTCTGTGGAAAGATTTAAGCTGGGAATCAAGCAGCAAAACGGTCCCCAGTTCAGATAACAAAGACTCCAAAACAAAATTTCACCCTTTCATTTTCCTTATCCCATCACCCCCAAAAGAAAAAGCTAGCGATTCTCCAATTCTCCCCCTTGTTCCGTGTCCTTTACTACTCCGAATCCTCACAAGAACACTCTAGAGTTCACACACACTAACCAAAAAATCACCTACCCCACACAACCCCATCAAGATTTCAGCAGAGTCTCAAAATTTTCACAAGATTGAAGAGACCCAGTTGATCTTTTTTCCTACTTGGAGTGAGCCATCGATCAAGCATGACGCAACGGCGGTTTCTGGAGACACAGCTGAGCATGCCACCGTCGTACGGCAACAACACGCGCGACACGTTCATCAGCGACGCCAACTTCGACACCAACATGGTGATCATTCTGGCGGCGCTGCTGTGCGCGCTGTTATGCGCGCTGGGGTTGAACTCCATCGCGCGGTGCGCGCTGCGGTGCGGGCGGCGTTTCGGCGATGAGACGCCGGAGCAGGCGGCGGCGCGCTTAGCGGGGACGGGGCTGAAGCGGCGCGAGCTCAGCCGCATCCCGGTGGCGGTGTACGGAGCCTCCGGCGAGACCATACCGGCGACGGAGTGCCCCATATGCCTCGGGGAGTTCGAGAAAGGGGACAGGGTCCGAATGCTGCCAAAGTGCAACCACGGCTTCCACGTGCAATGCATTGACACGTGGCTCCTCTCCCACTCCTCCTGCCCCAACTGCCGCCACTCCCTCCTCGAGAAACCCGCCGCGCCGGAGAGTGGGACCCGCCCGCGCAGCGACATCGTTGTGGTGGTGGAGCCGCTGAGTTGAAAGACAATAATATCGTGAAAAAAGTTTTGGTGAACGGAGGTTGAGAAATTTAATGTTAGTTGATAGAGTAGTTATTAGTTGGTTATTAATAAATTTGAAGTGACCATCCATAAACACGTTTTTTTCTAAAAGAACAAAACTAAAACATATGTTAATGTTTGTGTTGTATATACAATGTTGGATGTTGGATTGGATACAACAACGCTTGAAAATGTACATAATCTTAGTGGGTTTTTTATTTTATTCGTGGCCGCTACTATGTCATTTGAGTAATTATTAAGGTTGATCTAGTGTTGAATTTGATTAATTTTATCTTTTGAACAAAATTTAAAGCTATTTATAGTGCGCTAGTTGTGTTGATTAATGGAGTTTAGATAGGATCTAGGAGTTGGATATAAATGAATAAACGAGTCTTACATTAACGGCTTTAGAAGGTGTTCCAAAAATTATAGGATGAAGATAGAAACATGAGTAAGTAAATATTCACGGATTAGAAGACCTACCAGACTTCATATTGATGTTCTTTTTCCCCTTTTTGGAGTTACTTTTGGTTAATAGTTTTTTTGTTTTAGTTGTAATTTTATTCATTATAGTTTTATTATTGATTTTGTTCTCTAGAATTCATTCTATATTTTTTATTTATATTATTTTTTTACATAAATATTATGATAACAAATCACGATTAAATAAAAGAAGTTCTGATTATATAATATTTTATACCGCTATATAAACCTATAATTTAGCTAATTAAATATCTTTATCACAACACTCTCCCTCAAGTTGGTAAATGAATGTCATACATTCTCAACTTGTCAAATAATCTCTTAAAAATCTGACTTGTCATAGCTTTGGTAACAATGTCTACTAGCTGATCTTCAGACCAAATATTTGGCAATTCCAGAATATTTTTATCAAGCTTTTCCTTGATGAAAAATCTATCAACCTCCACATGCTTCATCTGATCATGTTGGATAGGGTTGTGAGCAATGTCGCGCACAACTTTATTATCATAATACAACTGGGGCGTGTATGTGCATACCCTAAATCTTATAGAAGTAGTCTGAGGCACAAACCTTCACAAAATTCAAGAACCATTCCTCTAAGTTCAACTTTTGCACTGGATCTAGCTACAACTTTTTGCTGCTTGTTTTTTCATGTGACAAGATTACCTCCTACAAATGTAAAGTATCAAGAGATTGATCTTCTATCATCAAGAGCACCTGCCCAATCTGCATCAGTATAAACCACCACATCCTAGTAGTTGGAGTTCTTCTTGAACATAATTCATTTTCCAAGAACAGCTTTTATGTACCTTAAAAACTGTATAACAGCATCCATGTGTTTTTCACTTGGATTGTGCATGAACTGGCTAACTACATTAAGAGTATAAGCTAAATCTGGCCTAGTGTGTGAGAGATACATCAATCTCCCTACAAGTCTCTAATATCTTCCCTTGTTAGTTGGAGTTTGATCTTCTTCAATGCACAACTTCAATCTCTCTTTAATTGAAGAATTTGTTGGTTTGCATGCTGTCATTCCAGTTTCTTTCAGTAAATCCAATGCATACTTTCGTTGTGAGAGAAAAATACCTGACTTTGATCTTGAGACCTCAATTCCAATAAAATATTTCAAAGGACCAAGATCCTTCATCTCGAATTCCTTTGCCAAGTACTCTTTTAATGTCTTGCGTTCCTCTAGATCGTTTCCCATAATTATCATGTCATTAACATAGACGATAAGAATTGTAATCGTTCCTTTATTTTTCTTTAGAAACAATATATGATCTTGGTTGCTCTATTGATATCCAAAAACAAGCATTGACTTGGTGAATCTACCAAACCATGCTCGTGGCGATTGTTTTAGTCCATACAATGACTTCTTCAACTTGCATACCTTCTTGCTATGTGTATTCGGGATCCCACATCCTTCTGATTGCTCCATATAAACTTCTTCAGACAATTCCCCATGTAAGAAGACATTTTTTACGTCAAATTGTTGAAAGGACCAATCAATGTTTACAGTTAGAGATAACAATACTCGAACTGTACTAATTTTGGCTACGGGAGAAAACGTTTCAGTGTAATCTATTCCATATGCTTGTGTATACCCATTTACCACTAATCTAGCTTTGAATCTCTCAATTGTGCCATCTGCATTAAATTTCATAATATACACTCATCGGCATCCTACTGATTTCTTTCCAATTGGACAATCTACTAATTCTCATGTTTTATTTCTTTGCAAGGATCTCATCTCCTCATTCATAGCATCCTTCCACCTGGAGTCAGCTAAAGCTTCCTGCACAATGTTAGGAATAGATACAGTAGGTAATTGACTTATAAATGTGATATTTGAGTTAGACAAATTCTGGTTACAAACATAATTACTCATAGGGTATCTTGTCTTACTGGTGAGGTCAGGATCATAAGTAGGCTTAAGGATACCTCTGGTGACATGATCTGGAAGAATTCTTTTTTCTGTATTAGGTTCTTGAGGGGACGATTGGTGTGATATATCATCTGCATCAACAGGTAAATTTTTTATCTCGACATGCTCAAAATCTTCCTCATTATGTGATTGTTGATCATAATATTATTGCATACTTTCATCATCTCCTGATACAACTTTGTAACTTTCTTTCTCCAATCTGACCTCAATATCAATTTCTTGATGAACAAGAGTCTAAACTTCATCATAATTCTCCCCCTGAATTTCAGACTCAGGGGAAAAATATATCAAGGTTTCATGAAAAATTATATTTATAGTAGTAAACATTTGTTTGGTTTGTGGATTGTAGCACCGATATCCTTTCTGGTGATCCGCATAGCCAAGGAACACACATTTTTCAGCTCTAGGAGACAACTTACTTCTTTGATGCTTGTGTAAGTGAACATAAGCAACACAACAAAAAACTTTATGTGTTAGTTCAACAATTTTAGGACTTACTACTGCATCTTTAAGTGATTGAAAAGGTGTTTTATACTCAAGAGACTTGGACGGTGTTCGATTGATAGTGTATACTGCATATGTGAGAGTTTCTCCCCAATATATTGCTGACATGTGAGCTCCAACTAGTGCAGCTCAGACCACCTCCAATATTCTGCCACCCCATTCTGTTGTGGAGTATTTGAACAAGATCTCTGATGAACAATTCCTTTGGCTACTAAAAAATGTTGAATTTCTGATTGTATATATTCTCCTTCGTTGTCACTGCACAGTACCTGAACTTGTGTTTTGTACTGAGTCTCAATCATTTTGCAGAATTTCTGAAATAGTCCTCCAACTTTACTTTTAAACTTCATCAAACATAACCAAGTCATTTGAGTACAATCATCAATAAACGTTACAAACCACATTGAGCCACCCAACGTTGTAACCTTAGATAGACCTCATACATCAAAGTGAGTAATCATAAAAGGAAGAGAACTTTTATTTGAAATTAAAGGAAAATATGTTCTATGACTCTTTGCAAGCTCACAAACATCATAATAAAAAGTTGAAGTGTCTACTTGGTCAAATACATGTGGAAATAATTTCTTTATGTAACCAAAAGATGCATGTCCTAGACGCTTATGTCATAACTAAATATCCTCGTCTTTTCTTACTTCTTGAGACCCTTTTGTTGCTAGCACTTGACCAAGTCTCTTTGAATCTTTTTATGTCAGGTCCAGGTAATACAACCTTCCTCGCCTAATACCACAACCAATCGTCTTCCTCGTTTGAATGTCCTTAAAAACACAAGAGTCAGACCTAAAAATTACAACACATAAAAGAACTTTGGTTATTTGCGAGACTAACAATATGTTATATTTAAGAGAAGGAACAACAAGGACAGTATCAAGATTCAAATTGTTTGAAATAAGTTCCTTCTCCAATAATAGTGGATTTACTACCATTAGCTGTGGAGATACTTTTTTGTGAGGAAGGTTTAAGATTTTTAATCTGTCTAACATCAAAAGTCACATGATCAGAACATGTAGAGTCAATTATCCATGCATTATTTAGAACGGTAGATGTGCTTATTAAAATCTTACCATTGGAATCATCACTACCTGCGATTGTTGCAAGCATCATGTATTTGTCGTCCTCTTTGTCAATGACAGTTACAACAACAGTTGGATTTCTTTTTGAATTCTTCTTCGATGCTCGACTGTGATCCCACCACTCGGGGTATCCTATGATTTCATAACATTATTCCTTGGTGTGTCCATCCTTATTACACTAAGTACACTTGTAGTTACCTTTTCAAAAATCTTTTGATTGCTTTGATTTGTTGTGATGATTTGTTGGTTGCTTCTTTGTCATCATAGCTGTGGAATCAGAATCATATCTTCTATTTTCAACGTTGTTCGTCGGACTGTCTCTCTCTGGATTAATGCATAATATTCTTCTAAATCAGGTGTCACTTCCTTGCACAAGATTTCTCCACGAACTTGCTCAAAATCATCATCTAGTCCAGCAAGGAATATATGCACCCTTAATATTTCAATGGACTTCTGATATGACTTCACATCATCAGGGTTCTTCATGACTACTTTGTCACGATGGTTCAATTTCCTAAAAATCTCAACCAACTCCCCATAATATTCAATTAAGGTTCTATTATTTTGTTTTGCAGTGAATGCCCTTTGATTCAGGGCAAACATTTGTAGTTCATCACTTCTATCATAAAATGTCTTTGACAAAGCATTCCAACTATCAAGGGCAGTGGGTAAGCGAAAATACCTTTTCATTATTTCTGGCTTCATGGACATCAATAGACATCTTTTCACTTTTTAGTTTTCAACATACCATTTTTCATATCTCTCATCATTCTCTTCATATCTCTCATCGTTCTCTGTTGGAGGTTTCACCTTCCCATAGATGTAGGACAATTTTTCCCTCTCTGCAATGTGCATATCCATTAGTTGTGATCATACGTCATAATTGGATTCATTTAAGATGATGCCTACGTTGAGGATACCTTCAGATTGAACAACCATTGGAATTAGTTTTTTTGTCATCTCTCCAGTTAAGATCTCCAAGGATTTAGAAAGAAAAAGAAAAAAATTATAAGCTTTGGTACCAAATTGAAAAACATAGAATTCATTATATATTTTTTATTCATATTATTTTTGTACACATATACTATAATCTTATAGGATTTTACTCCAACAAATCGAGGACTAAACAAAGGAAGTTCGATTATATAATATTTTGTACCACTATACAAACTTATAATTTAGCTAATCAAATATCTTTATCAAAAGAGAAAGTAATTAAGTTTGTCTATTTCCAAACTACACAATTTTCTTTTTTCCAATTTTGTCACAAAGCCTCCAAATTCTCATTTCCCTTCACTCGAAATATTCTATTGAATTATTTTAAACCTTTTACTTAAAATTGATAAATCCAAGCACCAACTTTTATCAGAAAAAAAAAATTGCGCTGCCTAAATTGTAATGGAACATGGCATAAAATTCTTCGTTTTTTCGATTTTTTAGTAAATATTCTATTTCTGAATTTGAAAATTATTTTTTTCAAAATCAACAAACATTTTAGTAGAAAAATAAAATTTTACGATTTTAGACAAAAGAAGACTAATAATCTATCAACATTTTAAATAGACAAAAACAGTTAAAAAAAAAAAAAGACTTGATAAACAAAAACTGCCATAGATCAATCTAACAATTCAATTCAAATTGATTTTTAAGATTAGTAGTTGGCTTGAAGGTATGACTTTTACGCAAATCGAGTTTAGTTTAAGGTACAACATAGTTGTGTTAAGAGCGTAATTAATTAATAAATAATTTGATAGCATAATTATGTCTGATTTGATAAAATTACAAACATAACCTTTAAATTCAATTAATTTGTTTGAAAAAAATAAAAAATTTAAGATTTAAAGAACTAATTTCATACAATATTTAATTTTAATTTAAACACTAATTATTTATCTTATCTATAACTTGATTACTTTTATCCTAATAACCAATATTTTCTTGAAGTATTTTTAAATGTATTAATTTAATTCAATGAACAAAAAGATGTTAAAGACATAGAAAAAACAGGAAATAATAATTATAAAAAAAATGCACTAGTTAAGTAAAAAGTTTGTTTAGTTAAAACTATAATTCTCCATTTCCTTGTGTAAATTTAACATTTTTATTATACATAGAAGAAACTAATCTCTAACTTGTAATGTTAAGTTTATAAAACATGAATTTGACTCATAAATTTAATAAAAATAAAGTTTAGATTTCAAACTGTCTATTTAATAAAATAGTATTTATTTCAAATAAATTACGAATAACTCGAGATATTTACATCTCCATCCTCGATTACAATTAAAGTACTATAGTAGTTAATTTTGCGTTTCTCTTTATTTATCTTTCAATACGGTTAAAAAGTATAATTAATAAAAATATAATTATTAAAAGAATTATTAATGTGAAATTGAATTTTGTAAATGATAAATAAATAAAAATAAAAGTTTAAAATAAATCGGAATGAGTATAATTGGTCGAAAGAGAGATGCATAGGAAAATAAATTGAAGATGTCCAATTTTAAATTTAGGGTTATGAAGTGAACTAAAATGATGTTGCTAATTTCATGATATCTTAGTATTTTTTTCTTATATTTTTTGGATTAATTATTTATTAAATCATTTTGAATATATTTAATTGGTGGTTGGAAATAAGAATAATGTTTGGTGAAGTATTTGGAAAGGTTTGAAAAGGATGCATAAAAATCTTGAAATGGTGAATAAAGAAGGGTGTTAGGAAATGGGACGTTGGTTTCAGGATTGCACATGGAAGTTTCGTAGATTTTAGCCATAAAATAGGTGTATTAGGTGTCAGATCCACACTGCCACCTAGCAATAGGGATGGAGCCCAATCCATTTAGCCTCGCCTGGTCTTGGTCCATTATAAGCGGGCGAGACGGACGGATTATAAATCTTCGCCCGTCTCGCTAAAAAAGTGGGTTCGCGAACTGATCGTCACAATTAAAAAATAAAATAAAATAATATATATATATATATATATATATATATATATATTTTTTTAAATTTAATAATTTAATAATAAATTTATTATTTATTTATAAAAATTTAATATATATATATATATATATATATATTATTAATAATATAAATCAATACATTATTTTACAAAATTATAATTTAGAATAATAATAAATATATAAATAATATAAAAAAATTATATTTTTTATATTAAAAAATTTTAATATTTATATCTTTTTTATTTGATAAAAATTTACATTATTCTTCCTTTAAATAATTTTTATGCATTTAATTCAAGTCATAAGAATAAAACAATCAGTGTTTAAGATAAACAAGAAAAAATAATGAACACCAAATAAAGGAGAAAAACGTGTATTTGAGTAGGAAGAATGTTTCTTATAATAATTAAGATTGTGACTTCTTTTATTTTCTTTTTACAATTTTTAACTTTATATATTGTTTTTATGATTAATTATATTACAATAAAAAAATATTTTTATATTAATTAGACGAGATTACAAACTAATCCCTTTATCGTGTGGGTTGATCCAATAAATTAGCAAGCTAAAAATAATAACCCACTCCCTCATATTATAACATAATGTGTTATCTAGACATACTTGACTCATTTTATTATCAATATATAACAATCATTTCCTCTTTTTATTATCTTTAACTTATCCTTTCATCAACCTAATATAAATTAATTATTTATTTTCGTATATGTAAAATCTTACATATATTTAAATTTCACGATAAATAATGATAAGATTTTTTTATCATAATAATTCTTATCCTACTGTATAAGAAAAACTATTTTTTCCTCGTAATAATATAATTATTGTTTACTTTATAAGTTTTTTAATTTTCTTTATCTTTTACTTAAGAAACAAAATAATAATATATATAATAAAACAATTTAATTAATAAGTAATTCTAATAAACAATTTTTATTAAATATATTTACAGTAATATTCTGAAATTTTAAGACATTAATTAACATTGTTAATTTCAAAAGGTGATTTAGTTTAATAGGAATGTTGGTAATTTAAAAAAATAAAAAATAAAAATGCGTCCAGCAAACTTAATTTATACTTGAGCTCACTCATAAACTAATTTGAATAAAAAAAATGAAAGCATAATGTTAATATTAACAAAATGTATCATTCATATCATTAAAATTAAGGGTTTAGTTAATCACTCTAACTAGTTTATAAGCCACATTACTGTATTTGCGTGAATGCATAATAGTTTTAATTAGAGAAATACAGCTAACTCAACACCAAACTATTAATATATCACATATTTTTATGCACTTTTTAAAGTTATTTACCTTCTCATATTTCAATTGTTGATGATGTCATAAAAATGATAAGGGAAATAAATTACATTTTAGCACCATTTTATACAAATTTTAAAAAAGGGTACTATAAATATCAAAATGTTAATTAAACAAAAAATATGTATTTACTTTACATATTTATAGAAATGGGAATTAAAAGTGTTAATTAGAAAGTATATTAATGTATAAATATCATATATATATATATATATATAATGATAATTTTTTTATCCCAGAAAGAATTAAAAAGAAGAAATAACTTTTATAATTTGAGAGAAATAATATTCTCGATTATTTTGTGAACGTTTTCCACTTTCCCGTGAAACCATGTAAACCCAATTCCTCACTCCTTTCAAACCTAAGCCTCCAACGGCTCCTTGGAAACAAAATAGGGTTATTTTTGCTGTACTCTCTGTCCACTGTGGTTGGCAATGCAATCAGAGAGACAGCAACAATCATGGAGACTCCATGTCACTGCCAAAGCTACCAACTTCAACTTCAGACTCAGATTCGCCGCTGCAACTTTCAAACCCACTTGGAATTTCTCCTTCTTCCGCCTCTCCATTCTCCTCAAGCTTCCTAAATTCGCCTTAACATTCGCTTCACACCCCGCACAACCAGCACACGGACGAGGATTCTTCACTACCAAATTCATGAAAATTGTCCACAAACTTCGACCCAAATTGCCCAAACAGAAGGAATCGAATATTCCATATCTAAAGGTTAACGTACGTTACTTATTCAAATTTATGCAAACTAACACTTTATTAGCAATTATATTAATACATTATTAGATTTCCCACTTAGTTTACTAATATTGTCAAAATAATAGGTTTATGGGTTGAATTAGTACATGCCTAAATCCTAATTCATCAGGATGGAAAGGTTAAATTTTTCATTTCAATTTCACAACCCAAAGATAAGGAATAGGACTAAGTCTGTTGAGCTCGCTATGCTTGCAGGACCCACTTCGTATTGGCTTTTGGGTTATGGGGATTCTGGCATTTGTGGCTCAATTTATCAGCATGAATGGTCAACAGGGGATCTTGATGCTTGGTGTGGGGTATTTGTTGCTTCTGTTCTGGAAAATGAAGATAACAAAGCTTTTGAATTTAGTAACATTCTTCTTAGTGGTGGTGGGAACAATATTTTATTACCTGGTTTTTAATTTTGATTGTAATTATAGTTATTGGGAGTACATGGGAAGGTCATGGAATAAAATGGTTAATTTCAAGTAAATATGGTTTCGTGTTCATCTTATGCTATGTATGTTGTCGTTCTGACACTTTGATTCACAGATCTGAGGTTCTTTATATAGAATATGGAATTCAAACTATCTGTTTTGTCGCAATTTCCTGTCTCTGTTTTAAAGATGTACAATATATTCACACATATAGTGGGAGTTGTGTGTAGAGCTATGTCATAGCATGCTTTGTGTTTGTAGTTATCTCTGTTCATTCTCTCAACACTCAAATACTTTTTCCATTTGATCGTGTGAGTTAAGCATGAAGGTCAAAGGTTCAAGTTATGAAAAGGTGGTTAAATTTTGACCAAGCTAAATGTCACTTCACTTCGTTTCAATGAATAGATCATATTTAGTTTCATTACTATTTTCAAGGTTGTCAAGTCACTTTTCTTTCCCCCCACAAATTGTTTGCTGCATCTGCATATTTCCATTTTATTAACACTAATTTGTGTGAACTATATAGCTGATTAAGTTGTGCTTACAAATCACTCCATTTTATTAGTGCTGATTCCCAAGCTTACTGATGTACTGCTAAAGAACTGTTGGTGGATTATGATTGCTGTTAGATTGGAAGTTTCGTTTCAGTAGTTATATATCAATGAAAGTTGAAATTCTTCGATGAATAACATAAAAATCCAACAGCAATTGTAATCCTAAGTATATCAACTCAACACTCAACTCTTCATGTACAAGTAGAAGATAAAATCATTGCTCCTACATAACCTATCTTCAGCAGTACTTAGTATAAAGCCATTGAGATAACAAGTTTTTGCTTGAAAATTCACCATAATTACTAAAAGTTGATCATATTCTCTTTTCTTCATTATCTACCATTACAAAAAACAATAAATGGCCGTGATTTTACACCACGGTGGTGACAGCTGAGAACTTCCAAATGACTTTTCTCGTGTTTTTAATCTGTCACTATCTTTTTTCTTTAAATTATATATATATTTTTTAAATATTAGCTAATTTGAATTATATTTTATTATTTTTTAATAATTATACAGTATGTTTTAAAGAAATAAAAAAATATATAAAAAAACAGAAGAGATATAAGAGAAAAATCTAGATTAGATAGATATTCATAGCCCGTCTTTTAGACAGGACTTTGACGCAGTAGTTATAGTTTCCGTGTTTTATATTGAAACAATTGATAGAAAATTTATCGGTAATTTATATTTTTAAGTCTATATTCGAAATTTTTGTATTTTATTTATATTTTGTTATGTGATTATTTTAGTAAGAGTTCTTTTATTAAATTGGTTTTACTTTGACTATATTAAATAAACAAAATAAATGGTAAATTACAATAAAATTAAGTTTGTGTTGTGTAATAATTTTTTAGCATCCAAAAATACAGCAAATTTTTTTATAGTGTGTATATGGTGGAAATATCATAATTATGTTGTGGGAGACATATTTGTCAATATAAATAATATTAATCCTAGATGGTTTACGTAGTAATGAGGGAAGTGGCAAAAGCATTATTCTGAATCTGAAGATTTCATTATGACCCAATGAAAATATATTTTGGACTTTTGATGGTACTTTCTAATGGGTTGCTATTTTCTTCCCTTTTCCTCTTAACACCTAACTTTGAAGCTGGGGATGATGTTCATCAATTTTATGTATAAACTAGTTATGTGAAGCAATAAAAAAACAAACAAAAAACACTGATTCTGTTTATAATGAGTCTTAACATGAAATTTTGTTTTAATAGTAGTAATTAATCAAAACTAATTATATAATGTATAATAAATTTTAAGCAATTAGGTTCCTAAATGAATTCAGACTTTTAAGTAGGTTACACTAACCATTTTAGATTGTTTTTTTTTTAACCAAAATTAGATTTAGGTACGTCAAAACCTAGTTTCATTTGATTTACTTCCATGTTCGTATATTCTTTTTTTCTTTACATAATATAACGACCTAAGTAATGGTTCTAATAAAACTCAAAGTCATAAATATAAATGAGTTAGTAGATAAGGTACCTGATTAAGAAAATTAATAGTTTAATTATATCATCATTTTATTATTTATTGTTATTTAATTTTTATTTTCTATCAATTTATACATTGTTCTTAACATCTTGTATAAGCAAATATCTCATCAATCTAAAACATAAACTAACATCTTGTATGAGAAAATTAAATTAAAAACAAAATATGAATATGTACACATATTCTAAATAAGGATCTAACCATAACCTAAGTGATATTGTTTAAGTTTAAGATACAAATTTAGAATGACCTTTTTTTTCATAAATATGATTTACGAAGGTTTCATCTCAAATTAATCTTGATTAACCATGAAATAAGTAAGTCTGACTAATAATAATTTTGGTGAAGGAACGAAGTTGGATGCACATTTTTTCTGGCAAGTAAAATAAATTATTAATTTTTAAATTTAAAATCGTGTGCATTGGAATAATATCTAATAATCTCGCAATTATCATAATAAGAAATATACATATTAATATTGATTATAATATTATATATTTAAAATTGAAATTTATGAGGTCACGATATTGAAAAGAATATAACTTATGATGAGAATTATTTCTTATTTGTAAAATTGCATGAGTTTTAACGTAAAATCTATATCATTCAATTACACATAAACAATTAAAAGTAGAAAACAAAGAGAGTTGCTCCATAAAATTAATTAAAAATAAAATTAAATATTTTATTATATATCCACATTTAAGTATTTAATAATAAAAAAATTATTTAAAATTAAAAAAATTATTTATATAAATAATTTTAATTAAATTTAAAATAATTAATTATAAGATTTGTAATAAAATATTTAATTTTATTCTTAAATAATTATTATTAAAAAGTTCTTTTAAAATATTCTTACAACTGGTCTATTTAACTAAACATAACAATCAAAATATTAATTATTATAATTTTTACCACAATTAGATAATTTAATTATAATTCATTAATATGTTTTATTTATTAATTTCCTTTTAAGGTGGTCAAACATTGGTCCATATTTTCCCGGTAACACGAAACAACAAAAGGCTAGTTGTTGAGTTGAGCACTTGTGAGTGGGACCCACCTCTCTATTTGATAATTGAAATGAATCAGAAAATCCATGCCACGCGTACTCGGCGCGTGGAAAGACAAACATGTTGATGTCAGGTGGGACCCAGAGGATCCTCTTCGCCGTTGATCTGAGTGCTACGTTGGAATCGGACGGTCGAAATTCAGAGTCAAAGACCTATCTTGATGGCTCTCTTTGACCAACACATGCCCTTTTTTTAATTATTGTTAGAAAAATGAAATAAAAAAATTTCCCTACTTTGACCGGGCTGTCACCTTCAATCAAGATGAGCTTCGTTGAAAGTCGCGGAGCATTGTGAAAGTACGAAATTGCCCATGGGCCCACCTCTTTATATTTTAAAGTTTCAACCTTTTTTGTTAGGGTTTGAAAATTAAAAAACCCAATAGATCCCTTGGTCCACCATAAAGAATGTAGGAAACTTTTCTTCTTTATCATGATAAAATTTGACCACAGCAAAAGAAGAATTTGAATTACTTTGAAAAAACATTATATGAGATCAAAGAAAACATATATATTGAATTTTCACATATGTTTTTATTTTAAAGCAACCACAAATGTTTCCACACATCATAGTCTTAACTTCATAAGAATTTAATTATGTCATTGGTTAAGTTATACCACTTTTAAGGTTGGAATTCAATGCTCTTAAGCTCAAGTGAAAGATTCAATTTTATTTTATGAATAATATTAGTCATAAAATTAAAGCACTAGATTGAAAATCAAGATGAAACTTCCCTATTTTTATTTTATTTTTAAAGATAAAACTTCCCTGTAAAGCTCCTGAAACCAAAGTTATACAAACATTTTCTTTTAATATGTCAATAAATGCATCATTAAAACCTATGAAAACATAGTCAAAGCAAGAATTGTTAAAAAAATCGAATTAGTCAAAGTTCAAACCAAAATTCAAAACGCATCTAGTTTTATGTAGTTTGGAGGGAAGGGATATGAAAGGTAATTTTGGAGGCCAGAAATGGAAGGGGCATTAAAATTGAAAGAAAAAAGTGAGGGGCAAAGTTGGGAAAAAAGAAAAAAAGAAAAAGAATTGTTTGTGTTTAATGAAAATATTATTTTAATGAGTTAATTAAATCTGGGTTTTGGTTAGGTTTGACCACTGCTCATTGGGTTCTTCTTTTTCTCCCTTTTTCTCTCTCTACAATTCTAAATATTCCTCTAATCTCTTTCTCTCTCCTCTACTTTTTTTTTTCTCTCTCTAAAATCTTCACTTCTCAGCTTTTCCAATCTACTTTCTTTGACTGGACAAGGGCGTTTTCGTCGACGAATCAAAACCGCAAAAAAGTTCCGATTTTTACCCATTTCGCTGCCCCTGGATCGCTTCACTCTGAGTTGCATGAACTGCCCTTTCTTGCAAAGGTTCGTTTAATTTTCATTCTTAGTTTTCGATTCGTGTAATTTCACCGTTCTCCGATGAAAATTTGCTTCGAAGTTTCATTTTCTACTGTCTTTATCCTTTTTTTTGTTTACTTTAATTTATACGGCAGTTTGTTATTCATTTTATTATTTGTTTTTATTTTTTTTATTTATTTGGAAAATTTGTTGGTGTAGATCAAACTTAGCGACGTAATTTTTTTTTCACCTTGATATTGTGGAAGAGATGGGATAAATGCGTTTCTGTGGTTTTTGTTTTTTTATGTTATGGATCTGAATTTCTTTTCACGTGGTTGAATAGTGGAGCTAGGTAGTGTTTTGCAATTGGGTAGTTCTGTTTCTTTAAAAAAGCATTTAGTCTGTTTGAATATTTTTTTCTTCATTGCTTGTCAAAATTAGGGAGTGAGATGGGGAAAATTGAAGTAATTTTACTACACTATTTTATGGGAATGTGATTGACATAAGTTGGATGTAAGGTTTATAAACCAAGAATTGATTAATTGTTGTGTTTAGCGTTCAATTTAGGATGGGTTGTGCGTATGTGATTCTGCAAGTCTTAAGAATAGTTGACTCTTAGTAGTAGGGAATGAAAAGAGAAAATCAGGATTAAGGCTAGATCATGTTTTATTGTTTTAAGATGTGGTCACTGGAGAAATAGAGTTCAGAAAATTTAAAGAGTAAATAGCTATTTGTCCATGAAAGATTCTCAACGTGAATACAGTTCTGGAGTATCTTGTGTGAACCCCTGACCAAAAATCACGACTCTAGGACCAAATTGATGTTTTTTATTTTTTTTGTGTGGATCAAGCTGGATATTTACTATAAATTAGATGTGGAACTTGGATATACAAATATTAGTAGTCATGGTAGTTGGAATCACTTGAGTTGTGATTCGATCAAGGTAGTTGGCATCACATGAGTTGTGTTTCAATGCGAGTCCTCACTTAACTTCTACAGATTGCATGGAGTTTCCTTATGTTGCTGGAAATGCCCACCAATTTCTCGAATGGTGCTGGACTCATAGGACTATCAATTCTTTTTTGTTTTCAATGGTATGGATCTCTAAGGGACAGGGAGCGTAAACAGCCATTGTGGGCAACGGATGAAGGTAATGTGGGTCGGTGGGGAAAGATTCTTGTTGGCTCAGAGGTCTGCAAGATATCTTCCAAATAGTTCTCAGTCATACATAGATGCAAGGATGCAGTGGACCAATGATCAGGGTATTGGCCCTGAGGGTGATCCATTGATGACAAATCTCTGGTGGTAGAATGCGTTCACATTGACCATTTGGGTGGGGGAGCTGATGAGAGATGAAAAAGAAATTATCTGAGGACAGAGAAGTCAAAGAGTACTTTCTGAAAATAGAATATGGTTTCTAATGCAAGTAGCCAGTTTCTAGCAATTAATGTTGATTCAGATAGAATTATGGAAAGAATCCTATAATTAGTGTACATAGAAAATGAACTAAAGAAATTATTCTGTTTGAAAATTTGAATACATAGTGAAAATATATTTTGGTATTCTTAATTATTAAAATGTGATTATTCATTAATCATCATGACAGGTTCTGAGTCACGATTTGATAACCATGATTAGGCATAAATTAGGAGAAAAATATCACTAACAGATGCTTCACCACTTTCCCTTTCTTGTTTCCTTTCAAACATTACTCTATCAAGGGCCTGTCTTATATCAATGAGAATTCAAACTCATACTACGCTATGAAATCACGTGGTTGCATTACTTGTGGGTTTCAAATTGTGGCATATGGAACTGCATAAACGTTGTTTTAGCTATTGTTTTTTATTCATGCAGCTTTTATTTTTGTTTTTGCAGGCATAAAGAGTTCTCTACAACAACCAAGTTCTGTAAAAAGGATGGGGTGTTTCACTGTATTGAAGAGCAAGAAAAAAAGGTCTGATCCAATTACATATGTTAAACGTGTTAGCCATAATGAGCACGTGCCTACAGTATTGCCTGAACCTCAAACGCGCTCACTCCAGTCTGCTCCTCCCAGTTTTAGGACCAGAGTGAAACCCATTCAACCCATTAATAAAGTCAATAACAACAGAACAAGAACATTATCTGCTCCATCAACACTTGATGCCGCAGAACAAGATGCATTGGCCTCAATTGAATATGAGGAACAAGAAGAATCAAAACACCGAGCTGGATCAATGAAGGAGCAGCATTCATCTAGTCCACAACCTTTACCACTCCCATCACCTCAGGGAGGTGCTGCATTGAAGGCTATTGGCAGCTTTAAGTCAGTGACAGCTGGTGGTCCTCTATCTGCTTCTGGACCTTTGCCACTTCCACCTACTGGGTCACTTCGGAATTTTCTGTATGATGAAATTGCCACAGCTTGCCACAATTTCTCTTCTGATAGATGCATGTCAGAATGTCTTTCGTCCACCATATATAAGGCTTCCTTTGGTGATGATGTTTCTAGTTCAAAGAAGTTTGAAGCCACTGTCACACGGCTTCACCCATCATTTCAGGCACTTTTCTCCCCATTGCATTACTTAAGTTTCATTTTTTGATATTTTTATGTATGGTTACTGGTCATATTAATAATGGGCACTTCCGTTACCAAATATAAAGAAATAATGCCTTATTATCTCAGAATGGCAAGAATTCAAAGCTTTATGTACTGAGATATGCTTTAGCCTTGTATTGTGTCCAGTTGAGTTCAACCCATAACACACAGCAGGGGAGTTAGGATGGACATAAGATTGATTTTAATTTAATAACCTTTTCAATATTTTTGCCTTTCAGCATGCTATTAAACAGGGTCTCATCATAGTCTTCTTTTTATCCTCCTTACTCTGTCATGTTTCCATGCATATGAGAATTCTAAACCCTAGCAAATCAAAGCTTGAAACTGTTATGAATTACATATTACATATCTGCTGATTGAAACTTAATTATTACTTATTGTTAGCATTATGTTCTGTTTTGCTCTCTGTTTTTGACATTAAAGAATACTCAATAAACTGTGAACTTTCTAAGTGGTCTAAACGTATCTGTCTTCTTTCAGGGCTTGAAGGAATTCATGAATGAAGTTAACACTCTTGCATCCTTGCAACATCCAAACCTCTGTAAATTGCTAGGATTTCATGCCCGAGAGGGTTCAGAAAATAGAATGTTGGTTTATGAGAGGCTATACCATGGAAGCTTGGATCGCTTATTGTATGGGAGATCTGATGGGCCATCAATTGATTGGAATACAAGAATGAAAATTGCTATATGTGCTGCACAAGGTCTAACTTTCTTGCACGAAGAAGGGCCCTTTCAGGTACATTAACAATATATTATACATTGTCATTGCATTTGACTAAACCAAATTCTGAGGAATATTGTTCAGTCAGATTTCTTTCATAATTTCTTTCAATATCCGTTGTCTCTCTTTAGTCCTTTTTCACAAATGCAATATGTTCTCCTCACCAGTGCCTCTAGTGGAATGTCTTCATTTTGTGTCCAAACAACCTTAACTGAATTTTAGTTATCTTTTTGTCCGTATCTGCAACACCACTATTTTCTAGTATATAATAATTCCGTATCATGTCCTTATCATATACATCCATTTGAACATACTACTACTACTACTACTACTCTTTTTCTTCTTGTCCCTTGAAAGTCTATCATTCAACATCATAGGCTATAATTGGTTATATAACATTAGAATCAAATTTCACTTTGGATTGTATGTATGCCTTTCCTATTTGCGTGTGGAGTTTAAATTTCATTAAGCTTTTGCTTTTCATAGTTTGGAATAAAGGTGTTATTATTACAGTTCAGTGTACACTCTTTTTTATCTTTGCTGACATACTGCTCTCTGTCTGCAGGCAATGTATAACGAATTCTCGACAGCAAACATACAGATTGACAAAGATTTCAGTGCAAAGCTTTCGGGATATGGTTGTGTTGGACATATTCCCGAGGAAGAGATTTCAAGCAGTTCATCTGTAAGTTCTTCAAGTCATGAGGGTTTTGTGTTGTACTGTGAGTTCTAACATATTAGTGTTGATTATATTTTTCCAGTATTCCGTGTCTTATTTTTCATGAATATTTATATTTATTGCATAATATTTGTTCCCATTCGTTATGTTCATGAATTTATTTGTTATTGTCCAGGCTGTTGGAAACCTATCAATGGAGACATTGGAGAAAGGAATGCTCACTCCAAAGAGCAACGTATGGAGCTTTGGAATTTTTCTTCTGGAGCTACTTACAGGAAGAAAGAATCTTGATAGCCGTCACCCCAAGGAAGAGAGGAATTTAGTCAAGTGGAGCCGGCCCTTCCTTGCGGACAACTATCGTCTGTCATTGATCATGGATCCTCAACTCAAGGGTCGCTTTCCTTCTAAAGCAGCAAGAACAATAGCTGACATTGCACAAAAATGTCTTCAAAAGGAGCCTTCAGACAGACCTACCATGAGAACTGTTGTTGAGCATCTGAAGATGATACAGGATTTGAAATATTCGTGCCGGTTCCCACTGCAAGAGCCAGCATCAAACTCTGGAAAACATATGTCAAGATCACCAAGTCTCAATGGGATTATCTGCCCAGTACCAAGGTTGAATTTCTCACCATCACCACCATCAGGTGTTCCACCAGTACCTGTTTCACCTCCAAGATGGTCTGGTGGAGTGCCCCTTCTCCTCCCTCCACGCGCATGTTCTTCCAGTCTTTCTTTGGAGGAGCTTGATAGGCAGGAAAGCCGCAAGTCATCATCCTCAGCCTCTAGAAGGGCTAGTGTTGAAGGATTTTGATTGTCTATAATGTTCATTTTTTATTTTTTATTTTTTTTGGTGTGATTGAACACAAATTTATAGGAGATAAAGATGTGGTTCCTCCACCTTTTAATCCCTCAGTGTGATGCCGAGAGGATGTTCTTTTGTAGATAGTGCAAAGGTTGGTTGAGTGGGTTCAATTAGTTACCCCCATTTATATGAAAAATTATATGGTCTTTTAGCATTTTCCTTCTTTCTCTACTACTTCAAAAGAAAATCTATTGCATCAGAGAAAGTACCTTTGCCAACATGCTTAATCGGTTATGTGGCATAAGAACATACAATCAAATTTGGTCTTGCAGAAACAAGAAGCATGATGCAAGTATCTTGGCTTTTGGTTAATAGATGAAATTTGTATTTTAAAAGATTTGAAAGTATCAAAAGTTCAGCAACTCATGCGCACCAAAGGTAATATCATTTAATTTAAAAAGAATAAATTACTGATATAATGTCAATAGCAAAATATAAAAAACTGTTAAACAATATATAGCAATATACGTTTGTGTCATATGCTAAAAAAGATTATGTCTATAACAATATCAATGTGATGATTAACTGAATTAATACAAATTAAGAATGAAGCTTAAGAAAATAAATACAAATTTTATAACCATTTAAAAGTCATATCAACTCCTAGTTGACATGTATGGTGCATTCTAGAATAATTAACACCAAACATATAATTTTGTTAAGGTAAATGTATTTTATGTTCACAACAAATATGGTGAAAAGATTAGAGTCATTAGAGGGTGATCAAACCACTCTACATTAGTTTTAATGTTAATTGCATAACAAACAACGATTTTATACTCTATATTTTTTAATCTAAATTCATTTTAAGAAATAACTAAATTCTTTTAAGCATATGTTTAAGTATTTAGTTATGAGAGGTTAAATATTCACTTAAACTAGTATAGACAAAGAGTTCAAATTTAAATTAAAGAGACTTTCTCTTATGTAAGACCAAAATACTGCATAATTATATAAATGAAGGTATAATACATTTGAATAACATTAATTGGTTACTCATAAAACTTCTCACAACAACAACTCATTATCATATAATTATGAATACCCAATTACTCGTCATGAAATTTATATAATTCTATTCAATTTAAATTTTTATTTAATTATACTATTTTTTTTATGCATTGAATGTTTCTATTGTACCGATCATAACTTCTGCTTATTTCTTTTAAAAATTAACCTTAAAATTGAGAAAAAGAAGATCTAATTGATATTAATATCAAATATAGGTTATTACTTGTCTTAAAACTCTTTATTTAAGTAAAAAAAAGGATAAATTATTTATAATAAATATAAAATGCAATATAAGTAGTAGAAAATGTTAATTTATTATAAATTCTAATTATTTGAAATAAACATTTATTATATATGCTTTGCAATGAGTGAAATTATAATTAAAAGAGAATAATTTAAATTTAGAAAAAAAGGCTTGTGAAATTCAATTTTAAAAGAAAATAATAAAACATATATGTTTTTAATTTTTTGGAAAACACCTGAATTGAGCCAAAGTGGTTGTTCAGGTGGCGAAACAGAAGAAACTCTCTTCTTATCTTTTTAGTAGGAACAACACAAAGAGACAAGCATTCACAGTTTCGAGCAACAATGGTGGCGGGAATCGCAACCTTGAAGCTTAACCTCTCCGCATTTTCCTCTTCAATGTCGATTTCCACCGCTTCCTTCTCCTCCTCATCGTTCCCTTCTATTCTTCCAATGCGAACCCCTTCTTCTAAGCCCCGATTTCTCAGTGAGTCACTTCGTTCCTTTCCACGCTTTCTCTAACAAATTTTCCTTCTTTTCTGAGGTGTACCATTTGTTTCAGGGATTTACGCCTTGACCAGCAACGACATCAAGGTGGGCACCAACCTCGAAGTCGATGGTGCTCCTTGGCGTGTGATGGGTATTTTTTTTTTTTCCCCACGTTTGAACTGTGGTTTTACTTCTGGATTGTGACAGTTCTTGACTTGGCTTGGGTTGCACGCTATAGAATTTCTCCACGTTAAGCCTGGAAAAGGTGCGGCGTTTGTGAGGACCAAGCTGAAGAATTATATCACGGGGAACACGGTGGAGAAAACATTCAGAGCTGGAAGCTCGGTAATGCATACAAAATTGCAATGCTTCTGTTTAATCACTGCGTTTGATTGGTTAAATTGGTGACTATTTGGGCAGTGTCTTTTGGGGCTGGAGAGGGAGATAAGCTTATTGTTGGAAAGTTCATGTAATTCTGATCACCCCTAGCCCGCCTTAATTGCGACCTATGAGAGTGGTTGGTTATCAATGTCTCAGCAAGGACTACCTCTGGAGGGTTAGACTCATGGCATTTGAGCTATTGTCAACCTTGGCTTTTGTTGACATTTATGGTTGTCGTTCAAAGATGTTTTAGTGAGTTAAGCAAAGAGAATGTTAATGAATCCTTGAACTTGATTCTTAAGCAATATGAGATTGTTTCCTGGGATGGAACAATCTGATTTCTACATTCTAGAGAAGACCAATTGGGTAGTATCTTTTGTGGATAGGGACGGAAAGAGATAACATTATTGTTGGTAAGTCACCTTAATAGCGATCGCCTTCAGTTTGCCTTAGTTGTTGCTTATGAAAGTTGGTTGTCCTTGTCTCAAAAAGAACAATATATGAAAGGGTTGATCAGAAAGGTGAAGTGAACATCTAAGTGTGCAACTGCTGGATAAATGACTCTCAAGGCTTGAGATCCCATGTTGACTAGAGATGTCACAATGTAGTCTTTATAAAACTTTGGTTGTCCTTACGTTAACTTAACAATGTAGAAGAGTTTCTCAACTGAAAAAAGTTCTATAGTTCCAGTAGGAAAGCTCTCAAAAACACTCTTACCTAGTATCTAAACAGGTCTGAAGCTCATAGTCTAAGACTTGTGCTTTTTGCTACCTTGCTCCATTAAAAAAATAAAGATGCGTGAGGCAATTTTGTAGGTAGTTGTTAAAAATTTGAATTTCTGGGTTTATCTTTTCTCATTTCATCTGTTCCCTTTCCTTCTGACAGATTGACCAAGCAGATGTATACAAGGAAACAAAGCAGTTCACGTACAAAGATGGTGCTCAGTTTGTCTTCATGGATTTGGTATTATCTCGGACCCATGATTATCTAAACTAACAAATTATAGATATAGACATTTTGTTGGCTCTGACTAAATATAATCTCCACCCATGAGTTATTGACTCATTACTATGGTGAAGATTTATAAAATAATTCAATTAGGTAGGTTTATACCCTCTTTTCTAATAGTTATTTTTCATTTATTACTTTCTATTAGTTAACCAACGAACAATGTACTGAGTTTTGCCATAGTCTCTGTTTAATTTGCTGTGTTTTAATTTTGTCAGAGTACATATGAGGAGTTTCGGCTGGGTGAAAAGGAAATTGGAGACAGAACAAAGTGGCTAAAAGAAGGAATGGACTGCAATTTGCTGTTATGGAATGGAAAAGTAACCATGTCATCTCATAATATATTGTGTTTTTCACTGTCTCACTTTTATTTTTCCAGACCTGGTTATAGGACAAGAAGTGGCCTGGTTCTTGAAAACTTCCATAAGTTTTATTTATTTAACTATCTTTAAATTTATGTGGTTGTAACATTTATCCACTTTAATGGTATTTCATATTTATGGAAGAACTGCATTTTTTTCTTGAAAGCTTGAATAATCTTGTTCTACACTGGTATATACGTGTGATAGGGTTATATACTTTATATGATTATCCTCTCTGATTTTTTCTTTCTCCCAAGTGCTGCTTTACCCAGGCTACTGGGAATACACTCAATTATCACTTCACATATTATCAGTCCAAAGTGTGTTCTAATAGTTAGTGGTTTCAGATGTGCTCTGCAAACTCTTTTTTTTCTGTTGAGAGTGAGCAGTGTGGTTGCTTTAGCATACGTCCTTGGTTTAATTTAAAGTATATCATGATCTTAACCCACTATAGTTTAAGAGTAGGGACACCCTTGCATGATCACTTCAGTGACAAAATCACACTAGAGGAGCATTTTCTGATAAGCAGTATGGAATTTAAAAATCAGTAAGATATGTGCAGTTACTGCTATTGTTCTTGTTTAACAGTTTGTTACTTTATATTTTTTCAGGTTATTGATGTTGAACTCCCTATCACAGTTAAGCTTAGTGTAGTTGATGTGGATCCAGGACTTAAGGGTGACACAGCCCAAGGTAATACCATTTTGTTTATAATGCACACTTCTATTATTACCAATTTATATTGCAAACATTGAAAATCATAAGTGTAGCCAAGAAAAATTTCTATTACAATAAAATGATAATATCGTCTCTTATCAGCTAGACCATGATTCTCATTACGGTCTTTATCGATCTGTCAAGGGATGAGTTTGTCTAAATGCATATTTCACAATTTGGCATCAGAAATCAATTAAGAAAAAGCACCTTGAATAATTTTATTGTTGGTCATATAAAGCTAATATGTATGGAATTTTCAAAGGTTGGAGATAGGTCTTCCCACACCTGTTAAAGGGAACAAATCTCTGTTATATCCCTTCAAGGCCTTTTTTCTCCTGTTTTCTCCTGTATAAATTTTTTCTTAGTTTTCCTTGTAGAACATACTAAGCCTCTGATAACAAAATTTGATTGACAGGTGGAACAAAACCAGCCACACTCGACACTGGTGCTGTTGTCAATGTCCCACTCTTTGTAAATATCGGTGATGAAATATTAGTTGATTCAAGAACTGGACAGTACATGAGCCGTGCTTAAGATTTCTCATCAAATTTTGTAGTTGAAGTCCTGAAAATTCTCTTTTATTTTTATTTTTTTAGGAAATTATTTACCAATGAAGATGAATTAAGTTCATTAATTGGCAGATTGGCTGTCTTCTATAACATTGAGTTAAAACTGTGTTGTAATATAATTTTGAAACTGAAGCTATTGCAGTTGTTCAGCATGATTATGGTGCACAAAGTTCTTACAAAAAAGGTCAGATATTATTAACCTTTGAAATTGTTCCTTGCAATGAAGAAAAAAAGGCAGCTGATACAATTTGTGTAGACTTTCATTTTTATTATTGAAAGTGGTTAAAATTTGAATGGTATACAGAGTATATTTCGACAAGGTTTTTCATGAACAAATTTATAAAAAAACCTAAATGATTTTTTTTCTTATAAGTTAAAATTAGTTTATGTATAAATTAATTTATATAAGTTATCTAGTACGGCTTTTCAAAAGTTTTATTTTTTATTTATGCATATTTTTACAGTTGTCTTCTCTCCTCTTTTAAAATGATATGTTAAAGAAAGACGTATAATCAGATGGAATAAGCTGAGGCGTAATTGCATTTATTTTATGTCCATAATTTTGTAGTATCCAGTATTTTCGACTGTAATGGCAGCTTGTAGTCTTAATTGAATTGACGAAGTTTATCTATTCAAATATGAGAATATTATCGGTAACCCATATACTGAATGTCTAACTCACCATAGTTTTGTCACAAGCCAAACACAAACCTGCATAAATCTATGCACAACAGTGATGGTATTGCATCTAAACATCATCTCCACTGAGAGCAAAAATAGTACTTCTCTTTCCACATCTCGGTTTATCTTAAACCCATATAAGTGCAACTGTTGTGAAGGTCATTAACATCAGTGCATCTTAACAGACAAACTTTACTTCCCAGCTTTGACCCCCAATACTCATATCATGACTTGCCTCCTTTCTTCCCATTCGCACAATCTGTTGCCCTTTACAGGAAATTCCTCATCCACTTGGTAGCATGTTGCAACTAAATTTCCATGTCAGCATTTAATCTACCTTTACATGAATAACTCACCCGAGTCACCTTGCAGTTCCTCCCACCCCATAAAGTTTAGCCTAGGCTCCCTATTTGGAACAACACCAAGCTTCAGTGCAGCACCAAACAAATTACAAGCACAAAACTGTCTACCCTCTTTGTTGAGTTCTTTGATTAGCACATCATAAGAAAATCTACTGGGAATTCCTCCACTTGCATGCAAAAGGACCAAAGTTGACACTGCATCATCCACTCTTCCTCCAGCACAAAGCCCTTGAATCACTTTGTCAAAGGTGATTACCGCGGGAGAATATCCTAATGTAACCATATCATTCAAACTTGCCAAAGCCTGATCAAACCTCTTCCCCACACACAGTGCCTGGACCATCACCTCAAGTGTCCGCTGGTCAACAACTGAAACCCTCTCTTTCATTTTCTCAAACAATTCATCTGCATCCTGAAGAAGACTGTTTTTCTTCCTCGATCTCTTACACAAACGCCTCACCAGAGTCCCCATCATCCTCACATCCGCCTCCAACTCAAGCCCTACCATTTTCCTGTACACCCCAAGGGCTGCTAGAACTTCATTCCACTTCAACAACCCATGTAGCACAGTGTTGTAACTAACATAATCAGGAACACACTTATGCTCGTTCATCAACTCTAACACCGCAGCACCCTCCATTGGCCTCCCCTCTTTAGAATACCCTTGAATCAAGGTGTTAAACATGACCACATTGGGCACCACCCCCATTTCAACAACTTCATCGAGCAACTCCATTGCTTCATCTGACCTACCCACTTTGCACAACCCATCCATCACAGCAGTGTAGGAATAAACATCTGGCTCCAATAAGGTTCCCTTCATACCCATTAACATCTCAAGTGCTTCATCCACCTTCCCCACATAAGACAAACCCTTAAGCAAGCAATTCTGTGCCTGAACACTAGCCTTATAGCCCTCTCTTCCCATGGCCTCAAAAACCTCCTTTGCCTTATTCACTCTCCCCCTTTTGCAAAGAGAGTTTATGAGAACGGTGAAGGTTCCAGCATCCGGTCGATACCCTTTTTCCAGCGCAGTGTCCAATGCCCTCTTGGCCTCATCCATGTCGTTTTTCTCACAATGGCACCTTATCATGATGGAATGGGTGCAACAATCTGGCACAAGTAGGAAGGACGGTAACTTTGTGAAGATACTAAGGCAAATATCAAGCTGTTGTGCAATTACCAGAGCCATGAGAAGGTGGTTGAAATCCGATATAGTTTGGAATTCAGGGTCTTTCTCTAGGATTTGTAGCATCTGACTTTTGTTGTTAGAGGATGATAAGGTTTGTATCCTGTGGACAAGCCCTTTGATCCGAAACCTAGTGACCGTGTCCTCGAAATTGAGGTCAGTTGTTGTTTTCTGTTTGATGGGTGAAAGGTGAGTGGCAGAGAAAGAGAGTTTGATCTTTCCTGGTCGGATACTGATGATACCAATGTTGATTTTGGTGACAATGTTTGTAAAAAGAGGTGTATTTAGAGTACAAGGTTGAAAAACATGGTAGCACGTTGGAATTGAAGAAGGCATGATCATGAACTAAGGAGAAGGAAGCGTTGCAGCGTCTCTCTGTCTATGAATATGGATATTGTTTCGCGTTCGTAAAATGTAACGGACAAAAAAAGGGAATATTATAAAAGATAAAAGACCAAAGGAATATGATGAGTGGATTTATCTGTGTATTCTAATCATTATATTATATATATTATATATAGGGTATATGTTATAAATAAAAACAAAATTCAATAATCCTAAAAAGTGTACATCTCATATAACTTTTGGAATAAACAAATTATTTATAGTCTGTAAAACAATTTTCTAGTTTAGAAATGGTACTGTTTTCTTTGTTGTTGGGCTGGGCCGAATTATTGCCTTCTTTTTCTTTTAGCCCCCACAAGTTAGAGGTGCAAAAATGTCAAGTAGTTCTAACTTGGATAAATTGACAGGAGAAAGGATTTTGGTAAACATGTCGGCCAATTGATTGGAGGAAGATACCGGTAATAATCGCATTAATCCTGTTTGGTTCTTTTGGCGAACCAGATGACAGTCAATCTCCAAATGCTTTGTACGCTCATGAAAAACTGAGTTTGCAACAATGTGGAGAACACTCTGGTTGTCACAATAGAAAATAGCTTGTTTGGAGAAGGGAACTTTAAGATCAGTGAGTAGGTATGTGAGCCACTGCAATTCACATGTTGTTGTGGCAAGGGCACGATATTCAGCTTCTGATGAAGAGCGAAAGACGATATGCTGCTTCTTTGTTTTCCAAGAGACCAAAGAATTACCGAGAAAGAAGCAATAACCGGTCACTGAGCACCGTGAATCTACACAAGTAGCCTAGTCAGCATCACTAAATCCAAGAAATTGAATAGGTGGATCACGCCAGAAGAGTAAGCCTTTGTCAGGACAACTCTTGAGGTATCGAAGGACACGCATAGCAGTCCGATAGTGAACTTGAGTAGGATGAGCCATGAACTGGCTTAACTGTTGTGTGGCAAATGCAATATCCGGTTTTGTGCTGGTTAAGTATAATAATTGGCCTACTAGCTACTGAAAGAAGAAGAAGCCAGTAATTCGACCTAGCCGAACAACAAAGACAGTAGTACCATTCCTCAAACAGAAAATTATTTTACAGACTGTAAATAATTTGTTTATTCTAGAAAGTTCTATGAGATGTACATTTTTTAGGATTATTGTTTTTTTTCCTTATCCATACATCATATACCCTGTATATAATGTAATGATTAACATGATCAATACACATAGAAATCCATTCATCATATTCCCTTTCTTTCCCTTTCTTTGTCTGTTATCTTTTATAATATTCCCTTTCTTTGTATGTTATCTTTTATGGTATCAAAGCTCCTCCCTGGAGCTCTGCTGATACCCTTTTTACAAAATAACATCATTATCGCCTTCCAACACCACCACTACCTCTAATTTTGAAACCCTAAATCCTACTGACCCAAGTCTGAACCCATCCAGTCCCTTTTTCATTCATCCAGGTGAGAGCCCGTCGTCCGTTGTAATCCAACATGAAAGGCAACACCATTCCTTCACCCATCTTCGTCAAGAAGAAGAAGCGCCCAATAATTTTGTTAATACTGCTAGAACTCCTTTTCCCAGTGCTGGTAGAGGACGTGGATATGGCTCCTCTGGCTCTTCTTCTTCCTCTCAAACCAACGTTGGCAGAGGATATTTTTCTCCTAAAAATTCTGACAAAGGAAATGGAAAATACTGTGTTTATTGCAGGCGTGATGGACACACGGTGGATGAATGCTATGGAAAGCATGGATACCCTCCGGGTCATCCTCGTTACCCCGAACGTCCAAAATTTCATAACACATCGTTCTTCTCTGTCAACAGTGCCAACACCACCACCTAAGAAATCTCTCACGAAGAAGACAGAGTTTCTAGGGATTCCTCCAACGGGCCAAGTCTTGTTATCACACCAAGTCAATATCAATGTCTAATGGAACTCTTCCAACAATCAAGTGTTGCAACAGCTAGCTCAAATGACCCTCAGTCCATTTGCGGTAATGCTTCTCACATGGGCCCAACCCCCAATTCTGGTCCAAACAGTGGTCAATTTGTTTTTTGCACCATAAATGCCACTAATATTCATTTAGACAACAATTCTTCACACACCACACCTTGGATAATAGACTCTGGAGCAACTGACCACATTTCTTGTTCTTTAAATTTTTTCAAAGATTATTCTCCAATTAATCCTGTCCATATTCACTTACCTAATGGATCTATTGTTGTAACATGTTTTTCTGGAGCTGTTTATTTCACTCCACATTTTGTTCTACATAATGTGCTCTATGTTCCTAATTTTAACTTTAATCTTCTTTCCAATTCCAAATTAATTTCTACTCTTCCATATCATCTTATTTTTTCTGACAAGATTTGTCACATACAAGAGACAAGCTCGTCACGGATAATTGGTTTAGCTAGCTTAAAACAAGGTCTCTACCATTTAGTAATCAACAAAGAAGGACGTCTTCCAACCTTTTCCTCTTCCGCCAATAGTCTTAGTGCCAATACCAACAACAAAAACCTTTGGCATCTTAGATTAGGCCATTTGTCCGTTTCCCGTCTCAATTTGCTCCATGAGCAATTTCCTTTTATTTCAAAACATGTTAATGAAACATGTGATATTTGTCTAAACAAAAGAAATTGTCATATTCTATTAGCACTAGTAGAGCTACTAAAGTGTTTGATTTAATACACATGGATATTTGGGGTCCGTTTTCTAAACCCTCTATATATGGTCACAAATATTTTTTAACCATTCTTGATGATTTTAGTAGATACACATGGATTGTTTTATTAAAATCAAAGGACGAGGTGCACTCACATGTCCAAAATTTCATTGCCTTAATAGAAAATCAATTTGACACTACAATAAAAATACTCAGATCCGATAATGGTTCCGAATTTTCTTTAAACAAAAATTTGCTTTCAAAGGGATCATTCACCAAACAAGTTGTGTTGATACACCACAACAAAATGGTAGAGTTGAAAGAAAACACCAACACAATCTCAATGTATCTGGTGCCCTTATGTTCCAATCAAACCTACCCACTCATTATTGGTCCTATGCTATTAACCATGCTATTTTTCTAATTAATCGGGTACCATCACCTATAACAAAAAATACATCCCCTTTTGAACTCTTACATAATAAACCACCAGATTTTTCAATGCTTAAGGTTTTTGGTTGTTTGTGTTTTGCTTCAACCCATGGACACTGCCAAAAATTTGATCCAAGATCTAAACGAGGTGTTTTTCTGGGGTTTCAAACTGGAACTAAAGATTATGTTATTTTGGATCTCCACACCACAAATGTTTTTATTTCAAGAAATGTTATTTTCCTTGAAACATCTTTCCCTTTTTCTCTCAACTCTCAGTCCAGCTCACATGATTTTATTTCATCATTAACCTCAAGTCCTACCCATGAGCCCATTTCTCTACCCATACACGCAACACCACTTGACCAAACACATTCTCACAATCCACCCTTCGTTCAACCAAACACACCTACCAACTCCACTGATTCCCAATCTCTTCTTCCCAATTTCAATTCAACCCTTAAATCGTCTTCTTCCTTCCCAAACCAACCACCCCTACCTCCACCTTCCCCATCGTTCCCTACCTCGCCACAATCAAGCGCTCCTTTCGCCACTTACTCTCCTATTCCGGACGATCACCACAACTCATTACCTCCCATCCAACCCACGTCCCCTATTCCGGTGTCCCCTGCTCTCAGTCGTTCATCTCGCCAATCCATCTTTTTGTCTCACTTTGTTGATTACTATTGCAAGACCAAATCAATCATCCTCAACGTGCAAGCATCCAATTCAATCTGTGGTCAGTTATGCTCGCCTCTCTCCTTCCCACAAACACTATCTTTTGTCTTTGTCCTCTGAAATTGAACATAGGTCGTATAGTGACGTTGTTCAACACTCTTGTTGGAGAGATGTTATGCAAACAGAGATAGATACCTTGGTGCTTAACAGAACTTGGGACGTTGTGGAACCTCCTCCTAACATCAAACCCATCGGATTCAAGTGGGTTTACAAGATAAAATGTAACCCCGATGGCAGCATCGAGCGTTACAAAGTTCGCCTTGTCGCAAAAGGGTACTCTTAGATTGAAGGTGTGGACTATTTTGACACTTTTTCACCAGTTGTCAAAATGACCACTATTCGAGTTGTCTTGGCTATTGCCTCTATTCATCGCTGGACTCTTCAATAACTTGACATCAGCAATGCATTTCTGCATGGAGACCTTACAGAGGATGTGTATATGTCTTTACCTTCGGAATTTTTTGGACACTCCTCTATTCAGTGTTGCAAGCTCCGCAAATCCCTCTATGGTCTTAAACAAGCAAGTCGATGCAGGTATGACAAACTCTCTCATCTTCTTTTTACTTGTGGGTATCAACATGCCCAGACTGATCACAGTTTATTCATCAAAGCCAGTAATTCAGCGATTACTGTTTTTATCATATATGTGGATGACATAGTCCTAACCGGTAACTCTGATTCTGAAATTACTAACATTAAACATGAATTACACACCCATTTTTGCATTAAAGATCTTGGCATCCTAAAATATTTTTTGGGCATAGAAGTTGCATATTTTGAAGCTGGTATATCTTTATGTCAACTTAAATATTGTCTGGATCTATTATCTAGTGCTGGTATGCTTGGGTGTAAGCCTTCCACCACCCCTATGGACAGTTCATTACGACTTCATAAAGACTCTAGTCCATCCCTGGCTGATCCTCTTGCCTACCAAAGGTTAGTAGGCCAATTACTATACTTAACCAGCACACGACCGGATATTGCATTTACCATACAACAATTAAGCCAGTTCATGGCTCATCTACTCAAATTCACTACCGAGCTGCTATGCGTGTCCTTCGATACCTCAAGAGTTGTCCTGGCAAAGGTTTACTCTTCCAATGTGATTCACCTATTCAATTTCTTGGATTTAGTGACGCTGACTGAGCTACTTGTGACTGGATAAGTTCAATTATGTAATCTCTTTAGTAATATTATATTCTTGCTCATTTAATAAAAGATTGTTGATGTGTATAATATATTCTGAGTTACGTTTAATTTGTAAATTTTTTCTTCAATTATTGAATTAGATTAAATTATTCATCCGGATTCAAGTCAATAAGTAGATTGAATGGTGAAATATAAAAATCAAGTAGGTTTCACTTTCATAGACAATCCTTAACATTATTTTTAAAATAAATAGGGCATTGCTATATGTACAATTTTATTTATATTTATTTATACTATAATTAATGTTAAGGTTCCAACATAAAACTAATTGACAATATGTGTATTAGCCTAACATGTATTTAAACCATACCAAATGACATGAGGTAGGCGATGTGGGACTTTCAACACACCCCTTCCAACGAAGTCTGCCCGGACTAGGCAAAGGGTACTTTTGACCAAACTAAATGACAACTTTTGACCCATGACAATAAGCGGAAAGATGTTAGACTTTGACTCTGTTATCATGTTAAGGTTCCAACATAAAACCAATTGGCAATATATAGATTAGCTTAACATGTATTTAAACCATACCAAATGACATGAGGTAGGCAATGTGAGACTTTCAACAATTAATATACAATCTAATTTAATAATAATATAATAAAAATGAAAAATTAAAATTCTTATTAATTTTATTATAATATTAAAATTGGTAGTTAGAAGGAGGTATAAATTAAAACAAATGTCGGAGTATAATTTTTATCGTAAAAATATTACTGATAATAAAGTGTTTGAACTGAGCATAAAAATTAAAACGTATTTTCTATGAAATACATGAGACTGTAAATTAAAAGTGGCATCAACAAAACATTTCTTAAAACAAACTCAAAATATCAAAATATGGAGAAACTGTCTTGATTTCCATTCTGTGCATTAAGTTGGGAACTTCTTGAAACAAAAGCACTTTCGGATCAAAACCATGAGAGTTCCATATATGTCTGAAACTCATGAATGTTGAGTAAACATATAATGGTAATGCATTATGCATGCTGATATATAGATGATGATGATGATGATAATGATAATGAAAACTTTAGTTATCAGAACCGCAGTGATTTGCTAAAAGCCGTGAAAGACAACAAATCCTTTTCATCCGAGGCTTGTGTTCTTCCCTTTCTCTTCCTTCCAAGAATTGGTTTCAGCAGTTTCTTCAACACCTTGTGAAACCCTGATCCACCACAACGATGATGTGGCCCTTGCAGCATCACTTGATTCACCAGAGGTATAGGAGCCACGTTCATGAGTCGCGAGTGTGACTTCTGCAAATTTGGTTCCGAGAGACTCCGACTCAACATCACCCTGTTCAGCTGCGCCGCGTGTGCCTCAAACGCCAGCCTCTCGAACTCGTCCAACAACGTGCTCTGTTCGTCGCCAAACCTCGTTCCGATCACTGCCATTTTCCAGGTTGTGGTTCCGGCCACCTTCACTTTCACTGTCTCACTTCTTCTTCTCCTTCTCACTTTCTTATAAGAGTTTTGAGAGTGTGGCATTGTTGGAGGCTTAAAGGGTTGTAATGTTGTCTCTTTGTGTTCTTTTCTGCTTTTGTTAGGTTAAAGATTGGTTGTTGGAAGAGTCGTCGTTGTCTAAACAAAGTATCGGATTCATCACTTTCAACATATCATCGCATCACTCTCACATTCTTCAGAACCAGCATTTTCAGTGAGGTCATAATAACAGTTCATCTTTGTGTCTTCCAAAATAAATTTTCACAGGAAAATCACACGGCTTTTCAGAAGTCAATTAATAAATACTACGCATATTCACGATTTAATTAATTTGATTGGAATTTTGAATTCTCCGCCGATTCAAACCAAATCTATCTATCAAATAGTTGGTTTGAATTTGAATTAAAATTATATGATTAATTAAACCAATCTAAACTAACTTAATTTGTTCGACTTGAAATATAAGTTGAAATCCAATAAAAACCCTTAAATTTAGTTAAAACTAACTTAAGTATAACTTTAATTAAGTTAAACAGATTAAAATAATATTACTAAAATCAATTTTACTTAACTTTTTGAAAAATGGACCAATGATAATCCGTAGTTAGAAGCATATAATTACTTATTGAATTTTGTTAACGGTTATCTTATTTACAATATTTAAAGAATTAAAAGTATAAATTTTATTAAAAAAGTATAATGTTTAATAATATGAATTTCTTATATTCTATTTTGTTTATCTATTCATAAATAATATGAATTTCGTAATTTCTATTTTTTTTCTATTTATTTCTTAACTTGTAAGGAATTGTTATCCTAATTACGCATCAACACTTTTTTCTTAATTAAAGAAAATGTTGGTTCTTTCATTTTGGCTAACTTGTTGCAGAGTTTGAATTGTATAAACAAAAAAACATTATTATATGATGATATGCAACGCTTTATTCTTTCTTGCATAAAAGAAAATATGTTTCTTCCTTTCCATGCTTCTTTTATATTCCAAAGAATTTGCACAAAGTGTATAATGATTTAATTTTTATATTTTATTTAAGGTTTATTATTAACCATTGCAGTGATGTTAGAACCACGCCCACGAACATTATTCCTCTGCCAGATTATCACTTATATTCCGTATTTATCTAAAAAATAATATTATAATGTAAAAATTAAGTTTTTTTTTCAAAAGAATTTTGAATATTTCTGAAAAGTATATTATAATTTTAAAAAAATAAATTCAGAACTTAAATCGTGAAAAAAAAATCATTTTTAGATTTATTTAAATATATATATATATATTAATTTTTTTGGAATGATAAAATTATATTTCATATTTCATAATAAAAAACTTAAATAATTATATTTTTTAATTTATTTATCCAAATTTTTTAATATTTTTCAATTGAAATATTAATTCATAAACTAAAAAATTATAAATAAACAAATAGGGATAGAAGAAGAAATAGTGGGTGGAAGAAGAATGTGCCGTGGACATTCTCAATGGCCAGGCCCATTTCCAACACAGGCCCAATCCATATGGGCGTATACGCGTTCTTCGCTTCATTACAATCTCTCTCCTGAGATAGTATCTCTGTTGAAGTAGACTGCGTCAAGTCATTCCTTTTTGCTTCTCGTAATTCCCAATTCGCAAAGTCTACGTTCCAACCTCAACACAAATTACACCAACAATTTTTTCAGTTTCTTCTTCCTTCTCTTTCAGATTCCATTCCGAAGGGTTTCTTTTTTTAATCATTATTTTTAGTTTTTCCATCCATTTTCCCACTTCCATGCCACCCTCTGATCTCCCCTGAAAAGGGATTCCTCTGATTTCTCTTCCTATATTGTTTTTCCGCTCTCGCGTTCCTCCCAATTTTTTCCTCAATAATAATAATAATTAAAGGTGCGTGTGTGAGGGTGTTGCAGTATGATCACAATGAGAACAAACGTTTTGCTATTACTTTTGTTGTTGCCTATGATTATGTCTGATGTTTCTGACGCCTCCTTTGTTCTGAAACTCCGAAAGTTGATTGCTCCTGATCCAAACGACACTAAAACAAAGGTTAGTTTCTTTGTTATGCTTCGTTGCTTTAAATAGCTTCCTTTTAATTTAGTTGTTTTATTTTTCTTACGATGGTTGAATAAAGTTTTCGCCTTTAGGATCCAAACCCTGTTGGTGAAATGAACAAGGTCAATAGGGGTGGTCCTGTTTCCCCAGTTCCACAACCACAACCTTTACCCAAAGTGGTGAATGCTGATGATAAGCACACTTACCCAGTTCCTCCTTCGAGTGTACCTCCTCTACCGGTAAAGGATGATAAGAGTGGTAACAAAGTTAAGAATAAAGAGAAAGAGACAAATGAGGGAAAACTTTCACATTCTACCACCACTAAGACTTGTGAGGGTTTCAACACGTGCACAGATGATGGGGACATGCTTGCCTGCATTTCAAAAAATGGTACTAATTGTTCAGCACTGCTTTTGGTTATTTCGTTAAGTCTCATTAATCAATGGTTTGTTTCTTTATTTGTGTGCACGTGTGTGTATTTAATGTTTTTGTGCATGTGTTATTGGTTGTCATTCGTGTTTATGTGTTCAGAATAGGACAGCATTCACCGTGCACATACACATATCAAGGGAAGAATACTCCACTTTGACTGTTGTTTTCTTTGCTCAGGATCACTATATCAAACTGTTAGTCTTTGGACAGTATGGAATTCTAGTTGGATTCTGTGTTGTTCAGGAAAGAACAACTTCGATTCAAAGAACGCAAATGAAACTTAAACAAAATTATTGAATTTGGTTGCAAATTTGTCACAGATTCTAAAATTTGTCTTACCTAATCAAAATGGGAAAAGGCTATTGTTGTTATTCTTATATTTTAGGTTTCCATTTTCCTAGCTTTAGGAAATGCCTTTATGAGTAATTTAGATTCTCAAGAAGTGTTTGGCAAATTTTAAAGTTAGCTTCATAAATCAATGTAAAATAGAATCTGTTCTTAAATTTTAAAGGTTCTTACTTTGCCTATGTTTGATTTTGAACTAGTTTAGTGAATTTTTAAGTAAAATTTTGGTGACCTAAATTTTAAATAAGGTAAAAGAAAGGGAAAGAGAATTAAAAGGAATTTTACTATTTCATTTGAACTACTTTTGCGTAAGTTACTTTCTCTCATATAGTTTCTCAAAAATTTTATTTTTAAGTTTTTCAAAAGCTAAGTTTTGCTTATGGAGAAGCTTATTTCATGTTTCTTCCTAGTTATGTATATATTAAAGTTCCACCAACTCCCCCACCCCCACTTTGGTAACCCTGATTAGTCAAAGTGCATCAGTTACTAATTATAACAATTTCAAATTTTCAGTGATGCATTAATGCGAATGTAAGAAGAGTTTTAGAAGTTAGAAAATAAGTTATTTGTTGGTATACATTTTGAGAAAAATTAACTATTCAGTGGTAAGTGAGTGACCACTGCTTAATTAATCAAGTGTGTTCTTTATTGTGCAATTAATCTGTTTTTATATTGTTCTGCTTCCACTGCTACACGATATATGTTTATTGCATGGTGGATTCTTGTGGCGTTGTTATGGCAGCGGCCATATAGATTCCGAAAATGGTTATGGCAGAAAATTCTCTCCAAAAGAAGGACCACAATCTGACCCATAAGCTTGAGTGAGACCCTAATTAGCAAATGTCTATGTTGACAGCATCAATCTCTTATTATTTTCAGTACACTTACATGTCTGTTTTCTCTTTCCTTTTTCTGCTGGCAAAACGTTTCCTATGGTGATGACATGCGTTTTCAAGTATCCAACCCTACCTCCTCTTCTCATGCCCCTTTCTCTTCCCTTCTCTGGCCACCCACCACTATTCTTTTTCTTTTCCATCTCATAACTTCTCTCGCTTCCATTTTGATTCTACCCTCTACCTTTTCTGTTATTCTGGCTTTTGTGGGGTCTAGTGATCTACTTCTATTTTGCATTCTTCCCCTCCATTTTTTAATAAAACTATGTTTTTTGACATTAGAGATCAGTATTTTTCTTTCTACTATTATATTTTTATGATTTTTGCCTTGCTCCTTCCATAACCTTCAATGCCATTCACCATAACCTTTTATGATGCTTTCTGTTTCACTTGCCGTCATGAATTGTCTCACACCATTAACAACACTGCACAGAATTCTTTGTTAGGCTATTTTTGGATAATCCTGGGTGTGTCTTCAATTCTAAAACCTGTTTTTATGACTAGTTCGATTGGTTTTGGTAGCCAAATGTGCATTATTTGTTATATATCCTGTGTAAGGCCTTGTTGGTTAACTATTTTAAAAATTTGTTTTTTGTTTTTAATAAATTGTGTGTCCCCTAAGCACATTTAGAACTGTTTGTTCCCTTGGCACGTTTCTATTTTCTAATTTTTGAAAAGTTTGTTCATTGAACAGAGCACTTTAAACAAAAATAGAAGGGGATGAGAAAACATCTCCCAGCTGTTTCTGTTTTTTGGTTTCCAAGACACTTGCTTTTGGAAACAGTTTTCAAAACTCAAATGATAAATTGATTGGTGAGTAGTGTGGAATTGTTTTAGAAATCAATTTTTAAAACTAAAAAGTGAGAACGGAATGAGAACACCCGCGTTCTCTCATTTTTTGAGGATGTTTCTTTAGGTAAGCAGTTGCTTTCTACGAGATTAATTTTTGTTTGATTTAGTCTTTTAATTTTTTTTTAAACATCAATTTTTAAGAACTGTTTTTTATAATAAGATGTAAATAAAAACTTGTTTGATAAATCTATTTTGAAAACTCTTGTAAATGAAAGAGGATGATGTTGATGTCAATGAAGAGTCAGGGAGGAAGTAAGAGAATGACTTTGACAATTTTATGTGACGAAGACGAGCGAGCGATGTAGTGAAACTGTTGGTGAAAACAAAAATATCATTAATAAAAAATAAAAAATAGAAAACACATTTGATCAATTTTTATTTTTTAGTTTTTAAAAACAAATATACAAAAACAAATTTTAAAACCTATTTTAACAAAACAGTTAGGAAACAAGCTTTTAGCCTTTAAAATTAATAATTGTGTTTAAAATCATTAAACAAGCTAGTCCTAAGCGTTTGGTTGTCACACTGTGTAAAGCACCTGGGGTGCCTTTAACCAAGATACCCAGGGATTGGGTAGCTTTTCTGCATTGACAACTTTTGATCCTATTTTGTTTGATTTTTTTTTATTTTTTTTTTAATTTGAGTATTTATCATCATCTATCTCTTTTGTGTTCTCCTTACCTTTGTGTAAATAAATATATTTTATAAAAAAGATAGTTCATTGTTGCTAAACTAGTAACAATTTTAAGGCCTAAAACAATTTTTGTTTCAGTCCTTCAAAATTATATTTGTTGGTTTTGGTCTTCATAAATTTTAAAATTTTTCTATTCTATTACCAATTAGCAACAAGTAGCAATAACGTAGCATGCATCTCGACATGCCATCTTAAAGTGGTTGCTGAAGTGACATGTCTAGATGCATGTCATATCATTATTAAATATTAGGAACAAAACTAGATATATAAGGAACAAAACTAACATATTTTTAGGAACTAAATTCAAAATTCATGATATTTATAGAAAAAAAATATATAACCCTTTGTTTAATAGATGGAAAAATATGTTTCCAATTGTAGTTTTTAAACTACGTTTTACTCATAGATTCCAATTGATGAAATCTGCTACTAAATGTTAAATTTAAGCATAAAGAAGGAATAACTTCACATATTTTCATGTGTTCAATGACTAATTTGTCAATTTAAAAGTACAAAGACTAAAACTATGTTTGACAAAAAAGTACAGGGACTAAAACCATATCTTTCCTTTTAATTTTTAACCAATTATTCCTTCTAGTGGTGGAGGTAGTTTATAAAATGGGTGTCCTTTTCTTAAGAGACTGGATCAGGATTAGTTAATTAATATATTCCTATTTACTTTCATTTAAGAATTGATTGCTTATAAGGTGCAAACTAAACTTCTATATTTGTCAGTTTTAGTTTAACCTGTTCAACCAGTGACTCTGATCCAGCTTATTTTAAGAACTTTGTCTGTTAGGTGTGTGTGGGTTTGTGGCCTTTGGTTTATGATCAGCATGTAAAGAAACAAACCTAGCAATAATGCTGTTTGCATCTCTCTTTTTTAGGTGCTGTTTATGATAAAGATTCCTTCAGTACCCTTTGTTTTTATGAGGGTACTGGTACCTTTGGTGAAATACTAACCACTAATTGTTGAGGTTTACTAAATCATGTTACTTGTGTTGAAACTATTGGACAATTTTTTGCTAATGTAGTATTGTTTTCATAAAAGTCAAAATTATGAGCTTATTTGTGTTCATATTCCTTGTAAACAACAACTAGATCCCAAATACTTGGTTGTTCTTCTTCACAACAAAGGAGATGGCATCATCAAAGTGAAGCTTCGCACTGATTTTGAGAATAACCTTGGAGATGTAGAAGTTGACAAAAGTAAAACAGAAGAGGTATTAATTAATGTTTTTATTTATATATCAAGTTACCATTTAATTTTGCATACCCCTTCTGCTTCAAACTGAAACAAAGGCCTGAGATATACTGCTTCCTAGACACTGTCTCAACTTATTGTTTATTTCTTGAGACAAGTGAGCTTAAGTATTATTTTGGACAAACAAGATGTCGTTTGTTACCCGCAAACATTTGACACAGGGTTTTGCGTAAGTTGAATTCATTTTATCATTTTCAAGACTGAGCTATGAAATTTCAGAGTCTGTGTTCATTTGAATGTATTTAACAGTTACTAAGTTATGAAGTAGAATGGAAAGGACACTAATGACTGTTCCTCCATTTATGTCAGGGTAAGGAAGAGAATGAAGATACATGTAACATAGAACCGAAGGAAAAGAGATTTTAAATATTTTTTACCTTCAAACTTTTAATAATATGAAAAATATTCTTATTTTAGGCAGGAGAATCTAAATGTTCTTTAAATCTCATTCAAATTTCTCTTCAATCGGTGGGATTTAGCTGAAAGTGTTGTGTTCCTAGGAACACATCATTCCATTTGCTCTTCGTTCTTTCCACTACTATTATGCATTCCAACAAGGGGTTCGTTGTTCCTTTATTTTCCATTTCAGTTCATTTTGTTCAACTCGTCCAAACTTATAATACTCTGGAAATATTGAAGTTAATTGAATTCGCATTGTAATGTTTGTTTATATCTACTACCCATCAGAAAGTAATTCTGTTACAAACTTCAGCGTAAGTCTATTTTGCAATTTGCTAATCCAGTCAATTGTTATTCCACCTCCCGCTGTTACACTACCATCACTTCATGGGTCACACTTTTTGCTCTTCCTTCTGCCTCTGGCTAGGAAGAACAGGGTGATCTTTCAGTTATAAAGCACTTATTTCTTGGTTTTGCACTTGCTATCTCAAGTTCATCCGTTCAAACTTGTGTGTTCTGTTTATTGTTTAAGATGTTTAGTTTCAAGAGTACCGTGACAAATAAATTGATGACCAAAATTTCTGCTACACTCAATTACATTTCGTATCTACAGTTTACCTTAATGGTTCTGAACACTTGTTTTTCAGATCAACATCACACGAAGTAGCGGTGAAAGTACCCAACTGACTTTGAATGCTGGAAAAGGGGATTGTGTGCTTCACCTGCTTACTCATATACCTGAAAACAACTTTTTTCTTCATCTTCCTTCTTATGACAAAATTTTAACACCAGTAAATGGTGCCTATTTCCTCATATTGATGGTCCTAATCTTTGGAGCAACATGGGCTTGCTGCGCTTGCAGGAAGAAACGTCAAGATGAGATTCCATATCAAGAGCTTGAAATGGCACTTCCTGAGTCTGCTTCAGCTACCAATGTGGAATCTGCCCAAGGTTGGGACCAGGACTGGGATGATGATTGGGATGACAATGTGGCAGTGAAGTCACCGGCAGCACTTGCTGCAAGCATATCGGCGAATGGCCTCACTTCTAGGTCATCAAACAAAGATGGATGGGAGAATAACTGGGATGATTAGTCATCAGCAGGAAAAAGATAAGGGAAATGGTATATAATATTAACCTCAAATTGGAAAAGAAGGAAGAGGTGGAAGCAGATAGCAAGGTGAAGCATCTGAGTCAGGGATGTGACAAATGTGGCTTTGCTGGGCTTAATTTTGATCAGTGTCCATGCAAGGGGCACAAAAAGGAAAGAGGAAGTGTAATAGTTATGACACATTGGATTTTTGTATTGAACATGTAATTGTGAGAGCCCTGACCAAAACGGGAGACTAAAGAAACTGTAAATGAAATATAGGAGGTACAAAGTATATTTTGGTTTGTCAAATTTATACACATTATTCTTGTGATCTAAAAAATAAGAACTTTTGTATTATTAAGGCCTGTTTGAGGCTAGTTTTTCTTCTACAAGGTGGTTGGGGCTGACCTGTGAGATGTGTTATTGGGTTGGGAGTCCACTTTTTTCATGCCAATACACGATTTCTAGGTTCATGGCTTTACTTTCAGTAAGCGGCTCCATCTAATGTGGAGCTTGGAAGTGAGGGTGTATGAATGCACTTTGATTTATAGCCATTGGTACGCTCTCCTTCATGGTGATTAAGGATTTGGTTTTTAAAAGTTCCATATATATCGAGATCGGATCTCTAAAATTCATATCTATTTAACTATATTAGATTAAATTGATTTAGATTTTTTTTTCAATTTCATTTAAATTAGATTTAAGTTATATTTATTTTATAATTTAAGTTTAGTAGAAATTAATTTATTCGGTCTAGTTCCACCTGGTCAATTTGATCTAAAGATAATTGGACTTAGTTTGATCTAATCTAAGTTAGTCAAACATAAATGAATTAATATAAGTTGATTGGATTTAAAGTTTTATCCAATTTTATTTAAGTTTATTTAACTCAATCTAGGTCAATTTTAATCAATCTAAGTTAATATAACCTGACTCAAATTTATCCGACTTGATCGTATCTCTAACTTAACTTTAATTACTTTCATTTGACCTAAATTGGTATAACCCGACCAAAGTGGCCTAAGTTTGTTCAACCTTATTTGACTTAAGTTAGCATGATCCAAGTATGTTTGATTTACTTGGACATAGATATTATTTGATTTAATTTGACCAAACTCAACATAATTGAATTAATCTAATCTCACATTTATTTTGGATTTTTTGGGCACCCTCATTCTTAAGACGTGTCTTTCACTCTTACATTAAAAAAATTGTCATAAAATATACTCTAATTCAAAATAAGATTATATGAAATTAATATACTATTTTAAGTTATAATTGGGTGTATGTTTTTTATTGTAAGTAATCGACAAAGTAAAAAAATATCAAGTTAGTTCGTCTAAAATAAATAAATAGAAAAACCAAAACATGTGTTATATTTGAAATGTAAATGTTTATGATATTTTGTTAGTAATTATGATAATACTTTATTCAACAAAGTGTTAAAAAATTCATTAAAAAGTGATTTGGTGATTAGTTGTATTTACAATTCTTATATATGTCACTAATATATATATATATATATATATATATATATATATATATATATATATATATATATATATATATATTAATTTTTTTATAATGAGTCATTATTAATTTTTTATTACTGATAAAAATTTTGTTATCATTTTCATTATTTTATTATAATATTATTTTTGTTATTATTATTATTATTATTATTATTTTATATTTATCATGATAACTAAATATTAAATAAAACTAATGTTATCTTTTTTATCATATAATATTAAACCACCGAAAAAAAGAAAAAAATTAATAAGTGATTATCATGATAATTATATTATGATTATACTAAAATGAGGAAAAGAGTTCAATCTTTAAAACTTTAATTAGTTAATTAATTTTTATAATAACTTATTATACACTGAACGTATAACCTATTTTTCTTCTAAAAGTAAATTTATGGTGAGAGAAAATTCATGGTCCATTCTTGAGATTTTTCTGATCCATTAAATATTGCATAGCATCATAAATCATTTGAAACTCACGCATATATGAAATATGACACATATCACACTCTTCTTGGACTCTTTTTTCCTCTCATCAACGCGTGCGCAGACAAAAGTCATGGACACTCACTAATTATTAAAGTAATTAATATGCTCTTCTTCAAGCCCAAGAATGGATTTGTTTAAAATTTGATGCACAAGTTCTGCTTCACAATTATGTTGCCCTGTACGTGCTCATCGACTCCATGGATCGTGCGTCATTTTGTCTCCACAAAGTGAACCAAAAGCTGGGAGTGCATGGAGGGAACATGGTTTCAAATTTTATTTTAATGACCTCTTTGATTAGCTAGCTATTTCAAACTTCTTCATCAAACTTCATGTTCATCATTTCTTTCTTGCACCACTTGCTTAATGTTACTTTTCTTTCCAAAAACTTAGTAATCATACACAAGCAAAAGAAGCAGTTCCTAGCAACAGAGTTTACTAGAGATTTGGACATGTTTCAAGAAGGTTCTCACAGGTAATTCAGAGTGTGTAAACTCATTAAAACATCCACTTTCATACATCAAGAGTGTTAAACAAAAAATGATCAAACCAAAAGTATCACCAACTAGCAAATGAATTGTTTAACAATTGTTTTGCTTGAAGCAAAAAAAAACATATTATCATTCTGCAACTATAAGTAGGTTAATTGTAGGTATCATCCAACCATCCATGAGTGATGATAGTGATCTGCAGAGTCATCTGCACATTCCTTTTATTTAGTGTTCTACACGTAGACATAATCATCGTTGTATATGGTAGCGTGAACGTAAATCAATAAGCTACATCAAACATAATTTCTGATGATTAAAGTGTGCAATATTTTTCTATTTTTCTTTTATTTATAATTCCCATGCTCTGCACCAAATGTTGCCATTTGAAAAAGTTTGTGAGTAGGTGGTGCTTTTAAGGACATATTGTGCCTGTGCTTTGATGATGTCGAACAAACAAAGGATGATAAGGTTGTGATGTGTGCCACTGCTACAACAACTAGTCATTTACATGGCAATTTTTTTACTTCATGTCGAAGCTTTAATTATTAAATTTACCAGCACGAACAATTACTACCTTCAAGTGCCAGAGTTCTACTAAAGAGAAACAAAAAATATTAGTGTTGAGTTTGAAAGTGTGAATAAAGCAAGTGGGTACTTTTTTTCCCTCTTTACCTTTCTTTTTTCTTCGGTGCATTGTTTGTGGTTGCGGCTCATGTACTGATCTAATTATTCTTTGTGAGGCTTGTCTATGTTCCCCTTTACTTTTAGTTTATTCTGAATCTCATGTTTGTTTTCATACGGAAAGGGGAAAAGGAAAAGCATGTTATGCAATGCTTTTCAACCAAAAGATAAATATTGGCAACAGAACTTTTATATTATTTTAAGATATATTTTGTACATCTCATACTACTTCTAACAGTAATAAAGATATTCAATGGAGTAGTATGAAGTTTTATTTGATAATAATAGGGTATTAAGTATTAAGATTATTTTTACAATTCTATCAGTAATGTAATGAATACATTATACCACCAACTAATAATTTGATTCATTGATGTTATAGTTCAACATCCAGAATTATCTATGTAACAGAGAATCTCATTCTATATATGTTATGTGCAAACATTCTTGAATCGATAAAAAGTTACACTATTACGAATAGGATTAGTATTTATTGTAATAAACTTGAAGACAGGACCATGAAGACAAAAATGGAAATATTTCTATTTATAAGGAGACTGATTTGAAATTTGTGTCTGCATAATAGAACAAAAGTGAATAATGCCTTCCATGGTCTTATCTCTCTAGACAAAACTCTGAGTTTATCTCCATTTGTCTCTCACGTGTTTCATAGTCAATCTCTCTAAAGTGCAGCAGAGTTTGCCCTCTCAACTCAGGACCGTGTATTCGTATGAACCATCCTTTCACGGTCATAAAAGTTCAATGTCATTTAGCAGTGTACCATATATTAGGTGGGACTTGATACCACGTACCAACATGAATAACGCACAGCTTGTCTCAGCATGAGGAAACCATAAAATTGCAATAGCTAAAATTCAGAAAATGCAATTCATTCTTGGAGTGAAATGTATGGTTAAGAGATATATGAATATTATCCGTGTATCAGACGTCTAACTGGTGAAGAAAAATCCAGTAATACATTAAGAGATGAACAAAATTTAAGAGACCAAAAGAAGAAGAAAATTTTAACAACTTAAACAAACAAAAGTTGGTGACTGAATGATATTCTTTGCATGTATGAAGCTTTCAAACCGGATTGTACTTCACCAGGTACTGCAACATATGCTGTTTCTCAAAGACTTCAACAAAACTCATCCTAATTCCTCTAGTCCTTCTGAAGGGCATTGGATTAATTCTAGTATGTTGACTACCTCAGCCATATCTGGACGGTTTGATGGCACTTGTGAGGCACAAATCAACCCCAATTTTATCACAGGAATTGCTTCCTCTGCAGCAAAGTTACCAAGGAGCCTTCCATCAACACATTGATCCACCTTGCCTTCTTCCAATGCACCCCTCACCATGTCACAAAGAACCACCACATCGTCCTCCATGTATTCCACAGGTCTTTTTCCTGTCACCACCTCCAGCACAAGGATCCCAAAACCATATATGTCACACTTCTCGGTTATCTTAACGGTGCGACATGCAAACTCAGGCGCCATGTATCCTAGTGCACTTTGAATTTTGCTGCTCAAAACACAATGGTCTAACATTGGTAATAGTTTCACCAAGCCAAAATCTCCAACCTTTGGCTCACCAGAACAATCAATAAGAACATTGGTTGATTTAAGATTGTAGTGAATTATGTTCATTTGGTGCAAATGGGCCAACCCTTTTGCCATGCCAAGAATAATCTTGAACCTTTGTGGCCATGAGAAGACAGTTTTGCTGTTATCATCGTGCAGAAGTTTATGCAAACTCCCTGTGGATAGGAACTCATAAATAAGGAGTTGCAAGGATGAAGTCCAATAATAACCTTCAAGTGCGACAAGATTCGAGTGCCTGATATTTCCAAGCTTTTTTACTTCTCTCTCAAAGTCTTCTTGGGACTTGATCAAACTGGAGACTGTAAGCTTCTTGATTGCAACAGCATGTCCATCACGAAGGAAAGTGCGATAAACAACTCCAAATCCTCCACGGCCTATTTCACTTTCTTTATTGAGAAGATTATGTGCTCCATCAGCGAAGTCTGCATCACCAGAAAACATGACAAGCTTGCCATAGTTTGGATCATTTGCAGGCGAACCAGTACAGTCCTCACCACCAGAAAATGCAAATGTAGCAGGCATACGTTGCATTGAGGAACGCACGTGGATATTTAGGACAGTAACAGCTACCACACCAATGGCAATAAAAGCAGCTGCTCCAATAGCAATAAGAGCAGAGATACTTAGTATGATTTTATGCCGATGGTTCTGTGAAGAAATGCTGGAGTTGGAACCTGAAGAATTGGGGTTCAGGACAATAGGTTTGGGATGAACAGATGGACAGGAGTGGTTGACAACAGAACCGCACAGCAATGAGTTACCGGATACTGATGAGGAGGAGATGGTGTTGAAGAAGCCACCCACAGGTAGTTCACCTTCAAGGTGGTTGTAGGACACATTAAATGTGAAAAGATGAGAAAGAAGTGTTAATTCCTTGGGTAAACTACCAGAGAGTTCATTCCATGACAAATCTACATATTGAAGATTGGTGAGGTTTGCAATGGTTGCAGGGATTGAACCAGTAAGCTTGTTGTGAGAAAGAATCCTGCATAACTCAATTGAAAAGCAGACAGAAGTCTATTAGACAAAACATTGTTAGCATGTTAACTTACTAAAGATGTCATTTTTTCTCAATTATCTTTAACAGAAGCACACACTGAAAAAAAAAAAAGGCTTTTTCAATTTCTAAACACCTGTCAGATTAAGCAATAAAGAACAAAACACGAGAGTTGTGCAACTATGATATTAGAGAACTTACAAAAATGTTAGAGATGAACACTTGTCAATTTGGGCTGGAATTCTCCCACCGAGGAAGTTCTTTTGCAGCCTTAGCTCACTGAGTGAAACCGCCCCTTCTATTTCAGAAGGAATGCTTCCATTAAGCTTGTTGTCACTTAGGTCAATAATGTACAAAGACTTAAGCTCTCCTATACCCACAGGAATAGAACCGGAGATATTGTTAGTGGAAATATTCAAGACTTGTAGGCTACTAAGTCCTCCAATGTCAGATGGAAGACCACCAGAAAATGCATTGAATGACAAATCTAAAACCTCAAGACCATGATAAGATGTAGGAGTGGACTTAAGTGCAGGATAATTGCTCTTGCTGAAGCCATTCCCAGAAAAAGAGATGCTTTGCACGCCCATCTTAAAAATCCATGAAGGAACATGGCCTGCCAGATTATTGTGGCTGACGTCAAGAGCCAAGAGCTTAGTGCAGTTAAGCATAGAATCAGGCAAGTTTCCTGACAACTGATTCCTGGACAAATTCAATCTATGTAAAGAGTCAAGATTTCCTAATGTCTTAGGAATCCAACCAGAAAATCCATTGGCAGAAAGATCCAACGTCTCTAGATTCTTCAATTCCCCAATCCAGTCAGGAATGCCCCCTGTTAATGAATTTCCCTGCAAACTAAGTGCCGTGCAAGATGTGAGTCTTTGCATTGACTGAGGGAGTTCCCCAGAGAGAAAATTACCACTCAAGTCAAGTGATTTCAGAAGTAAGCAGCCTCCAATATCCCCAGGAAGCCTTCCACTAAACCTGTTCTTCTGAAGACTCAACTCCCTCATGTCAAACAGATTCTGAATGCCTTGAGGAATCTCTCCCTCCAGCAAGTTGTCTGACAGATCAAGTGACTGTAGCCCCCTCAAGAACCACACTCCATTCGGCAATTCCCCATGGAGCTGATTGGAGGAAAAGTTAACAGTTGCCAAATTGGAGCATGAACTCAAGGACTCGGGAATTTTACCTGTGAGGTTGTTCTTAGCAAATGAAACTATCCTGAGCGAGCCACATTGTTGGAAAAACCCTTCTGGGATCTCCCCAGAGAGATTGTTGTCACTGAAGTCCACAGCTTGTAAACTCCCAAGGCGAGGAAGATCGGGGTTTATAGGCCCTGTGAAGTTGTTCCTTGAAAGTGAGAGAATTTGAAGGAACTGCAACCTCAATAAGCCCCTATCAACATGCCCAGAAAGAGAGAACCCATCAAGAACAAGAGCAGTGACCCTATTGGATGAAGGATCACACTTCACACCTTCCCAGTTGCAAGGACTGTTATCATCCTCATTCCAGGAAGAGAGTTTCCTTTTGGGGTCCTCCAAACCAGCCTTGAACACAATCAACCCCAACACATCATCATTGAAACCAGGGTCCACAGAAATTACAAACATAACCGGAGCAAGAAGAACCAGAAACAACGCACACATGCTGAATTGCGTCATATTTATAGATTGATGTTATGAAGAAAAGTGTTCGAATTTCAACAAAATTCTACACGTTAACAAGAACAACACTGTTATCATTTGGTTGCATATCTGGTAGAAAAGGTTGGTAGGTCCTAACAAAGCACAACATATGCACTACCAAACCTCACCTCACAAACAGAAGGGGAAGTTTCTTCTTAACACGAGACACTGTAGCACAGTAGCTTAGAAAAGGACACGAAATGGAAACAGAAGTTGCAAGTATCCAAATCTCAGTAAATATAAACAAAAAGGAAGGAGTAGAAAGAAACAAAAGGGGGAAAATAAATAAATAAATAAAAGGATCAGACAATAAAAGCCATGTGAGGATGAAAAAGAGAAAAAACAAATTAAAGCGACTTCAGGAAATTCTCTTTTGGCCTTTTCTCTTTTCCTGTTAAGAATTTCAAATCACTCCCTTCAAGAAGAACAATCACACAAAGACACTGAGAGAGTATGAATATGATCTCACTAATGAAATTAACAAGAAATTAAAAGGGTGGGAAAAAAATAATGTTTTTGAAGAGGGTATTGAATGAATTTCGAAAAGAAGGGAAATTTGATAGTATTTGATTTTGATCCCGGAGAAAACGGCTAAAGGGATGCAGAGCTATAATAAAGAAGGCCTCGAGGTAAGAGAAGTCATTAATGGAGGAGGGAGAGAGACAGAGTGAGTGAGAATTGGGTTGAAGAGTGAAGGGCGGAAAGTGTGGGAGAGAGAAAAGCATAAATAATTAGTGTTTGTGTTGTGAAGTTTGGTTAGTTCTATTCTTAAAGCCTTCTATGCCTTCTGGGTAGTGTCAGAGAGAGTAAAGTGAAGCATTTAAAGCTTCTAACGTCAAAGACAGAGCAAGAGAGAGAGTGTGCTTTTGTACTGTATGTGCCATGTGTTTGTAACAGAGAAGCTTTATTTATGGTATGTTACTTATTCTTGTTTTTTTTTTATTAGTACTATTTATATTTTATTCAATGTTTATCAATGTATAATAATAGTATTAAAAATAATAATTAAGATAATAAATACTATATTAAATATTCCATGATATACAATTTCCTGTGGTCGGATATATTAAATGGTCAAACAACTATCCAATGTGATCAAGATGACCTCTTCTGGTAACAATTTTGGCCTTTTGTCGAGTTTAAGGTTTTTTTTTAATTATTTATTTATTTTCTATTATTATCGTCATCGAATAGTCTATTATCTTATTTTATTATTATTCAACCGTTTTTATTATTGATATTAGTTAGAAAACAAGCACACATTAGAATATAAATATATAATTTAAATTATTCTAAATTAATAACTATATACCTGAAATCTCATGAAAAATTAAAACATCATTATCGATCCAAGTTGGACAGCACCATGTCATTTACATATGACCATTCATAATTTCAAATATATACAATCATTCAAGTTTAATCTCAAAGCATGTTTCTTTAATGATTATCACAATATCAACATTTTTTTTCATTAAAAAAATAATCTAATCGTCAAATTTGAGAAAAATGCATTGCTCTTGGATTTCCCACCTATTATTCTTCGGTCACACTATATTATCATTACAGTTTTTTATTATTTGATTTTTTTTATAAGGTGATGATATTTTGATCATCACATATCGTATAATTCTTTAAATAACTTATTTTTATTAATATAATAATTTATAAAATAATTAAATAAAAATAAAACAAAATTATTATTATAATATTAAAAAAGAATTAATTATAAAAATAATATGGATTTAGATTTTTAGAGGATCATTCTTTCTTTTTTATATCTAACAAAATCCAATTTGTGGCATGATTAGGGTTGAAGGGTAGTACAATTATTCGTGATTTGACAGAATATAATATAATAGAATAAAAGATGGTCCTCCCTCACTTATTTGTGCACTGTAATTCAAAACTTGAACAGAGGTAGATCAAATCACATTGATGCCTCGTGGAAACAATTTATTGCAGCAGGAGACAAAAATATGTTCGAAGGAATGAAAAAAGAACCAACCGAATGATGTTTTTTTCTGCAATGAGAGTCAGAATCCCCCTTTCTCACTATTATTTTTCAATTTCTTCGTTCACCTAAAAACTCCAATTTGTTTAAACAACCCCGTATTAACATATTAACTTACCACATTTACATTTTTTTTATCAAAATAAACTTTAATTGTCATAAAATTTTAATCTTAAAACTAATAATTAAATTGGAATAATTTCGAGTAGGGAAATGCATTGCACTTACACATATTATGCTTAGATTGGTAAAACATATTTGTCAATATTGCGCCACCAAGTCAATGCAACCAACAAAGTCAAGAGTCTTTTTTTTTTGGTCAAATTTTGTTTTGTAATGTTTGTCTTCAAAGTTCAAACACCCACCATTACTTTTCTTATTTTATCGTTCTAAGTTGTTTGCACTTGGACTTTAAGGTTTGCTTTAATTTGATCTTGTATCATTTAGATGAACTTCTTATGATAATTCTATAAATTAAAATTAACTTATTTATACAAATTAATTTTAACTTGTAAAAAGAAAAAAATAAATATTTTTCCATACTTTTTTTTTCTCCTATAAATTATTATTAAAAAAAATCGATCAAATCAAATAGTGCATGTTGTCTAATAAATTGACTCCTTTTGCTATTTGCCTTAGAAGGCACGAAAATGTAAGACACGTTCTCCTTCCATTAATTTTCTGGTTTCTCACTTTAATTGAACTTCCTTTCTTTCTTTCTTTGTATCTGTGCCCGTTGAATCTTTGTTACAGGACATCAAACATGTGTTGTGATTTTTATAAGTGTTTTTAGGATTTGAATTTTGATAATTTGGAATTGTTGTGTTTTGCTTGTAATTGGCGCAGTGGCGCAAGATCCAAGCGCATCGTTCTCTTTCCGTTAGAAAAATGTAAAGAAAAAATGACTTTCAGAGTTTATATAACCAAAATAAGCATGTGAGTTACAGGCCCATATAGCTGTTTTTTTTTTGCTGGTTTTCCATTGGACATTTGCTTTTCATACCTTATAATTGCTTCTTACACCTCTTCATTGAAATAAAGTGGTGAAAAAAAAAAACTTTTAAAGTCCTTAAACTTTCCTGAAAACATTATTCGAGAAGTATTGCACAGATTCCTGATCACATTCCAAAAATATGCACTCTAAAAACTTATATTTCGAATTGAAAATTCTAGAATGCATTCCTCTCGTTCCAGAATAGATAATTTGAAATTAATTTATAACTATTTTGAATTATTCACTGTAAAACATTCTTAATTCAAAATTAAGACTTGCACATTATTCATGCCTAAAAAAAGTGAAAGACCGTGGTATCTCCACTAAATTAAAAGGCACATCCTTTCTCTTTCCTGGTATTTTCCTCTTACATCTCATATTTATTTAAAAGAACACATAATCCAAATATATTATAGATTATTTTGGATTAAAAAAACCAGCAAAATTTTGGATAAATTGATTCAAAAATATATAGTTTTTTAAAATTCAAAAATATATTTTTACTATATTAGAAATATTAATCCCAAAAGTTTCATAGATGATTTTTTATATGTATGATTTAAGTTCTGAATTTACTCTTTCAGAAACTTTATGGAAAACTTCCAAAAGAATGAATATGGAACTTATTTATATTAATATTATCTTGGGTGCATGTAGAAAATATGGGGTATAGAATGATCACCAAACTCTATATATCACCAAATTCTAACCCGCGCAAATACTTGGGCTATCAACCAGGCCATTCAGCAATACGAAGAGATAAAAACAAAGAAAAAATGACAATTGGAGTGCTGCGGTTTAGAGCCCATGAAAACAAATTAATCCAATTTATTAGGACATATCCACTAGGGTTATTTTTTGTGGTCCTCATTCTCCTACGCAGTTTTTCACCCATAAGCAAATTTATTAACTCAATTACTGTATTATTATGCTAAATAAAGTTAAATACTTGAAATTAATTATTCAAGCATAGGTTTTCACATTTCTACCATTTATTCAACCTCAATTGCTTGATTAGATTGTACTAAAATGACACTTAGAGAGAGAACAAAATATAATTTTTATAATAATAATGATATAATAAGAAAAAAAATCATCAATGTAATGTTAATTCTTATCTTAAGCTCACCAAAAATAAATGGATGTAGTTGATCATCATAATCAGAACATGTTTTAATTAAGAAATGAGTTTAGTGTATTAATATTTTGTTATATATATATATATATATTAAGAATATACATTTAACTATATAAATAATTTTTAAATTTTTATTTATTAATTAATATTTTTATTAAATAAATTAAAAATATATTATAATATTTTTTAATATATTATAATATTTACTAATTAATATTTAATAGTTTAAATTTAATTAATTATTATTTATAATTTAAACTTAATATAACTATTATTTATTCTAGTGGTTTTGAATGAAAGTCGCGTTTGATAATCAGGGCACGAACATGCGTTTGGTTTTGATTTGGGCATTGGTTCTTTGCTTTAGCTGTGATCCAAAAGGTAGAGCGTGTAGTAAACAAGGTTTTTTTTACTCGAATCCTATCCCTTTCTTGCACCAGAGAGACTACTTACACATCAACTTTACACTATCTTTACAAATGTATTTTCAAGCCATTTTGGTGTGAGTTCAAATTTAGCATACTGAATATTTAAATATAATACCATTTTTAAATTTATTTGATCAATTAATTGGAAATCATAATAAATATGATTTTATCAAATACTTATATCAATAATAAAATAGTTCTGATTAATTTAAAAAAAATCAGATACATTTAGATTCATCCATTTTTTCCCCTCTTTAACACAATTGTATAATGATAAATTTTTTTAATGCAAGACATAGAGTAGAATTTTGTCACGTTAGTTTACATGCTAAATACACTTTTCCATGTTCTAAAGGGAAGTTAATAATTGTATTTCCACCATTATATTCATTGATTACTTGTAAGTAATTTTTTTAATCACGGGTTTATATGTAAATTCCCTCCAATTAAATTTGTACAACACAAAGTGTTTTTATCACGGGTTTATATATGTAACTTCCCTCCAATTAAAATTGTACAACACAGAGTGTGAGATGGAACTCTTTAATTTCAAAATAGAAACTTACCATACTTCTCAGTAAATTAATATATTTTGTTAATTTTTAAATAGATATTCACATTATTTTTAATTTTTAAATAAATATCTACATCTTTTTTATTTTTAATAATACTTTTTTACATTTTTAGTAAAATAATAATATTTTTTATTTTGAAATATTATATTTACCAAATTTTAAAAATAATATAAAAATAGTAACTATATTTTATATAAAAATAATAACTGTAACATTTTTAAGACATAAATATTATTTATTAAAAATATAATATTTGTTTGAAAAGAAGATGGTGGTTTTTTTTAGTAATTTTTTAAAATAAAAAATATTTATTATTTTAATATAAATAAATTTAGTGTCATGTAAAATTGAAGAGTACGGACAACATTTAATATAACTATATTATAAAAAATATATTTTAAATAGTAGGTTAAATAATTTATTCGCAAATAGGAACATGGGGAATTTAAAAGACAGGAAAAGGAAATGGCTTGAGTATTTGCTTGATTGCTGGGACTTGGGAGATTCCAACGGAGCATAGCTTACGAGGGATGATTTGATGATGAATACTTGAATACAGGTGTCACCTTCTCAGGAGTGTTGCACGCAGCTAACAAACAAACCCTCCCTCCCACCCTCGCTTCTAATGTTGCGGGTGGTTTAGGACATTTTACAAACACCTCCCCTCCAAACACATACTCCATCTCCATTACTATAAATCCTCCTTCACTTTGCTTGCTTCACCACTCTCTCTTTCTGTCTCTCGTAACCTTCGCCTCTCTTCCACTCCACCCTCTCTCTCTTAACATTTCATTGACCATGACTTTCACCATGGATTCAGTTTCGGTGTTAAACCCTAAACTATCCCACTCCAATTTCTCTCTCCCATCCAACAAATTCCCCCGTACTTTCAACTTCCACCCTTTACTCAAACCCCGCGCTCTTAACGCCGCTCCCCCTAACTCCCTAGCCGCCTCCTTCCTCTCCCTCCACCGCCGGAAACCGTTAACGGTCGCTTTCACCGCTTCTCACCAAGACTCGGTATGCGCAAAATCGAGTTAGTTAGTTACTTAATTACTTCGTTTGATAGTTACAATGACAATGTTTATGAATTTGTGATCTGGATTGGGAAATTGTGTAGGAACACGGGGAGGTTGAAGTGGAGAATGAGCGTGGTGTCCATGCGGGCTCTGAGGAGTCGCAGGAGGCGTGGAAGCAGGCGCTGGACACTTTCAGGGAGCAGGCGCAGAAGTTTCAGGGTGTTTCTCAGGATGCTTATGAGTTGTACTCGAAGAAGGCCGGCGTCATTCTGAAGGACACCACGGAGCAGCTGAAGGTGCTGGCGGATAAGACCAAGCACGAACTGAGTGTCGCCGCGAAGGAGATCACCGACGAAGGGAAGGAGTATTTGTCTGCGGCGGCCGAGAGTTCCCAGGAGGTGAAGGACATTATGGAGACGTTCACCACGCCGTCTGATGATATCCAGAAGTTGTCGGGACTGAGGGACTTCTATGTTGGCGTGCCATATGGTAAGAATAATTATGTGTTTTTGGGAGGTTGAGTTTTGTATGGGATGATGTTTTGATTAATGCTAGAGTTTTTTTCGTAACATAATGTATGTAGTATGTTGGTCATGATTTCTTGATATAGATGTTGTTTGTTGGAAATACGCCTTAATTGTGGTCACGGTAGTCTTTCCTAATTGCGGCTTATCAGAGTTGGTTGCCTTGCCAATAATGTCTTGAACAGGATTTATAATTACAAAAGGGGCTGACTATAAAAGTGGAGTGAAATGTTGTAATGTGTAGCCGACGAGACATCTTGAGATCTCATATCAATTAGAGATTAGATTTAAGTAGTGCTTATAAAGCTTTGGCGGTTCTTACTGTACAAGCTGAATTTGTGTGGTTAAGTTAGGTTAGGTCCCAGCTCAAATTCTAAGATTGTTTCCATAGAGGGACTTGCAGAACAAAGGTGAAGTATTCCCATACTAAAGTTAGTGTATGTTAAACTTGACGGGAGTAAATGAGGAAGGGGAAGTACATATTATGGAAAATCCTGTTTAGGGCAAGCAGTTTTTATGAGAAACGAATGGTAGTTGTCAAGGTGTTACAATACAAGCTACTTTTTATAATTGTACTAGTGAATTGTCAAGCAAGATTTTCATTTATTGAGTTCCAATTTGTTAAGCTTTTATAACAGAATTCTTACCGAATATCACTGATCATATATTATAGATTACTTTTTCATGGTCACTTGTTAGGAACTTATAAGGATTAGAATTGATAGCTGATATGAATTAGCCTTTGATATGAGTTGTACGTGTGCTGATAATGATTGGTGTTACTGAGCATTATCCTGTAAGAAAGTGCAGACATATTGTCCATTCTCCCCATAGGAACTGATGTTAGAATTATGTAGATGTTGGGATGATTTAAGGGGCTGGCTTATGGGACTTGGGCCTCAATACAGTTCTCTATAGACATAATGACATTAAATACCACTCTTTTGTCTCAGGTTCAAGACCAGATAGTAGACACCCACTATCACCAACAAAATCTCATTAAATAGTTATATGACTTCTATTATGTTGACTGGGAATATTTTATCATCCTCTTTTCCCTCCCATTTACTTGGTTTAATATTTTGTCATATTTGTATTCTTTGCAGGTTTGGTGCTTTCTCTCGGTGGCTTCCTTTCCTTTATGGTAACAGGCAATGTTGCTGCCATAAGGTTTGGGGTGATTTTAGGTGGTGCCCTCCTGGCTTTAAGCATCTTAAGTCTGAGATCATATAAAAGAGGACTTTCCTCACCTATTGCTTTGAAGGGCCAAGCTGGTAAGATCATATGCTTCATATTTAACAGAAGATATCACATCTAAAACAATTACAACAGTAAATGCATTCGAATTTGCTTAAATATACTTGTATTTCTTTCAAATGCTCTTTTAGTAATATTTTAATTCTAAACTATTGAATGCAAAATAAGTGAAACACATTTTTCCACTTCAACTGTCTTTTATTTTATCCTTTATTTGTTTCCTCTTTATTCAAAACTCCTAATCCAAACAGAGCAGAACTTGGTTATAAGAATATGATATATTAGTTCATGTTTGAGAGCAAATTATTTTTGGAAATAATTATTTTTTCAATTGTTTTCTCAAGGAAGCTACAAAAATAAAAATAAAAATTTACTCTATCGAATAAGTTGAACCAAACATGCACTAATCTTCATCCTAATTAGGTTTGCAATAGTATTGTACTATTATGCAACGAATTGGTTTAATTGAAAAAAGGTTTTGTGAATGCCACCACTTGTATGCATGAATTTTTTATTGATGAAAATCAGGGCAGGTGAATTTAATATTTTCATTAATGCTACTTAAACCAATGTAGTTAAAACCTGAGATTCTATTTAGACCCAGCAAGGTTATACAAAATCGTAAATAGTGGAATCTTAAGACGAAGCATAAGATTCTACAAGATATATAAAATTCATCTATATGCATATAACATAAAATATGCAAGAGAAAAAACCATGTCATACACAATCTTTAATTAAGCTTACATTTACAATCATAGATTAATAAAGCATATAAAAGTCAATGACTAAACCCCATACAAAACTCAACTGACAAGTCATAAATGATAAAAAAGTTACTTGTAGTGACATGTGAATACTTATAGTACAAAACACAACACTTGAACACCTAGACTTGACCTCTAAAATAGATAATCCAAATTAAAATCATAATCACTCAAGAGATCCTCATTTCTTCCATAGAGAGAACCAATGAACCACTCAAATGGAGCAGCGGAAGCATTGGAACCAAAAAGAGATTGGGACAACCTTAAACATGGCAGAGAAGAGCTTTGGATGCAGTTGTTCATGCAACACATTTGGGCCGTGGGTGAGAGAGGACTCAGATTTTGTACAAGAGGTTGAAGAAGATGCAGTGACGAAGAAGGTGTTTTCCTTTATTATTAGTGTTGGGGTTATAGAAAAGTTGGTTTTTGGGCTTCGATTGTACCAGTGTAGGTTTACAAAAGCCCAAAACAGAAAGAAAAAAGAAAAAGAAAGAAAAAAGAAAAGAAACTTGACTGGCCGCCAAAAGTTGACACTAAAAGTGTTAAAATAGATTTAACTCGATGGGTCGGCTCGAAAGGTTAGGCCAAAAAATTTGTTACTTAAATTGAACCAAACCTATTTTGGCCTCGTCTATTTAGGTCATGACTCATATGAGTTTAGATTAGACTAATTCATATGTTATGGGATAGAATAATAATTATTCTTTAAATAAAAATAAAAGCTATATTATTTTATTAAAAAATATATTTGTATTATAAATTAATTTGACAGTAATTTATTGTAAAATTAAATATCATAATAAATCTCTAATAATTACTTATTCTAAGATCTTACAATTAAGATTAATTACTGTTTAAATTAATAAATTACTAAAAATAAATAATGATAATAAAAAATAAGTTTTTATTTCTTATTTTGATATTGAATGTATTCATTCTCATATAATTTATATATTAAATTATTATATCTTAAACAAAAACTAATTTCATTAATAAAATTTAAATTCTTAAAATATATTTTTATTTTTATTTAAATATTTTTTAATTAATTAAGTTTGTATAGATATGTTAATATTAAAAAAAATAATTCAATCTTAGCCTCTTAACTTAAAACATTAGGTCAGGATAGACCAAAACTTTTGGTCCATTTAAAAATATAGGTCAAACTTGACTATCAAATTTTATTACTCGACCGTCCATTTTGACAACTCTAGTTGGCACACAAAAATGTTATCTATGCAAACTCCGAAAACTCTCCAATTCCATTGTTTTTACACATTTATATGGGGAGTCTACCGATTCTGCTCAGCATCTCTTCTAAGCATGGACAAACTCACTAAAGCATGCCAGAGATGTAGAGTTGTGCGATTGTACAGGCTGGAACGTGATTTTGACTATCATGACTTAAACAGTTCAATTGTCGACTTTGTTTGGGGAAAATTAGCTTATATTTCTTAAAAAAGCTCCTTTATTTTAATCTTCAAATATGAGTTGAAAACAAAAACTAGCCTGTTTGCTTAATCCTTGCAATGTTGATCTTGAACTTGTCTCATAGAACTGTTGCATAATTTTAGGGTTTAATGTTAATTTTCTGTATAATTGATGCCTTCTATCTTTGATTTTTATTTTTTGGATGAGATCCTTGGTATTTGAAAGTTACTTACACTAATCCCTGACTAATTCATGTTATCTTGCATTGTGCGCACCCATTTATGGGGGCAAAACTTTCCAAATGCCTACCTTTTTCCATCCACGGGACTTGAACAAGAGACTATTTGATTTGATTTGTTTTTATTCACAATATTAAATACTAAACAAATTGTAGTCAAATATATTGTAATTAAAGAAGAAACAAAGCATTCTTTACACTTTACAAATGATGGAAGTATGCTTCCATCTTTAATATTTAACACGACATAACTTTATGGATTAACCGGCATGGGATTGTACCAATTTAATAAATGGTTTCGAGTTTTAGTGTAGCGGTAGCTATGTTAAATATATAGAGAAAAAAACTTAGCCAACTAAAGGGATATCTGATTCGAGTGGGATTGTTTCCATAGAGGATACATGTGGTCTTTTACTTAAAAAACAGACAAACTTTTTTTGTCAAAATCTATTTAAATTTATTAGTTTCAGACTTGCTATGTTTTAACTTTCCCAATCGAAATTTGTTTGTTTCTCTATCTTGAAGCTTATTTTAACTTGTTGGACTTGCAGCTATAGCAAGTATATTGTTTCTGCGGGAGATAAGCTCAATAGGCAAAGTAAGGCATTCACTATATTGATGAGTATTTATCAAGATTAATTTAACTTTCATGCCAATAAAATTAATATTGGTTTTCAAACATTTGATATTTTCTCATCCTTGATTTCTTTTCCCCAGGGATCATCTTATTTCGCTGCCTTGATCAGGTTCTTGAAACATCATTATTGTTTTACTTATATGTGAACATTTTTTCTCTCTTCATTTTAGAGTTAATTGTTAATTTTTTTTCACTGTAGCATTTACTGATAATCGTAGTAACTTGCTGCTATTTCATTTTTAGCACAAATTAGTTGGATTAAAACCAGATTTTATTAATGCTATGAACGGTGAGGTGTTGCATGACATTGAGTTTGATCCAACAAACAATTGTTAAATTGAAAATTCGGAATGTTGAGATATTGCAATTTTGCCAGAAGCTTTTAAACTATAATGGTTATTGCAAAATACCCAAATGGAAAGCTCTAAGATAAGATTTCAATTAAATTGTGAACAAGTAGATTGGAAATGGAATATCATTTGACCCACGCTCAATCTTTGTTCAATGTTTTGATTCTTTCTGTCAATATTTTGTTTTGTGACGACCTTGTTTCACATCTTCTGCAGTGGTGCAGTAGCGGCATTTTATGTCTACAGAATAGTACTGCAACGTAATCAACAAAAGGGCCCGAACTTGGAAACTGAACCAGGAAATTAGTTCTACGATGAGGTTAGCCTTTTAAATTCATAGACACTATTTTGATCCAAAATAGCTTCAGGCGAATAAATAAGAGAAATCCTGTCTTTCAGCATATGCACGTTAATTTGTACCGTTCCATAATCTATTTCTATTTGCCACTCAGTGTACAAAATTGAAGATCGGCGTGAGGATCAGGTAAAATACTGAAGATCTACTTGAAGATGGTCAGAGTAAATTTTGGTGATAATTTTTTTATATATCTTTTCACGGGGTGGGTCATCAAGACTAAAAAAGACCCGCTGCTAGGGGTTATGTGTTCATACGTTGAAAAATGGAGCTTGGAGAATCTGGATATAATTTCACTTGTAGTTTCATGTTTAGTTGTGGATTTTATGGAAAATTACTAATATCTTTTTATGAATAACCTCTCTGAAATGGGTATTACTAAAATCTAGATATATCTTTGTCGATATCTCCTTGATCTCTCTATTCTCCTGTAAAGCTGCAGAAGGTAGCTTAGGGAGTTTAACCTTAACCGGCTGCAGATTCTAATATATACAAGTCAGGAAACAGATACTTTAAATGTGTTTGGATGAAGGCTGAAAATTTTGATATTATATGAAATTGATTTTGGAGTGAGGTGATTTAGGTCATTTTGACTTCCTTTTAACGGCTGAGAAACACTTCCTTCCAAATTTAGTCGTTTTTTTTTTTCATTTTTCTATTTTCAAAGAGAAAGTTGGACCCAGTTCAAAAACAATTTAGAAGTGAAGTAGTTTAATCTTCCATTAAAGTAAAACAAAGTTTTAATAGAAGAAAGTTGAGAAAAATATTTTCCCCTCGTGCCCTCTTACCTCTCTCCGTGTTATGTCCTGTCTATTATGACAAATCCTATCCGAGCATGTAAACCTGTCAGTCTGTCATAATATAAGAAGTGAATTGGTGATTGGGAATAATTTTTTTAATTATAATATGATTAATTATAAAAGATGATATATAAAGTAAAAATTTATAAAAAGAATATTAAAAAAATTATATAAAATATTCTGCTTAGGTATTTAAATTTTTTAATATAAAAAATATAAATTTGATGCTAGTTATATATATTTATTATTATTTATTATTATATAAATTTTATTATTATTTTAAATTATAATTTTTGTAAATAATATATTTAATTTATATTATTAATTTAAAATATATATGTTGAATTATTGATAAATAAATGATAATTTTATTATTAAATTTATTTAAAATTTTATTTTAAAAAAATTAAAATTTTTTTTTAAATTACGATGGATTTCATGATTATAATGAATAGTTCATCCTGCTTTATTTTTGGTTGGCAAAAACAAATTGATTTATTTTATCATTCAATCGGTCTCTTTTTTCGGTGTATTTTGAGAGTTTTTTAAATAAAATTAATAAATTAGTAAATATTTTTTAAAGTTTAATTTTTAAATAACTTATTATTTTTTTAAATACTTAAATTTACTTTGGTTTCTATAATTTTCTGATGCAATTTTAGTTTGTATAAAATTTGAACTGTATATTTAATCTTATAGTTTTTTGAAATTATACAATTTTGATCTAAAAATATGTTAATGTGTTCATAAGCAATAACAAGGGGTAAATGTTGATGTTATGTTAATAGTGAATGGAGGAATTAAAACATGTGCAAGACATGCCTTCAGTTAAATTATGTTATTAATTAATGCATTACTAAAACATAATGTAAAATTAGGAGGGACTTGCAGCTCACTGATAATTATTTTCTAACGTGTAGTCGGCGAGTCGGTACTGTTAGAAAATTATAGTCCTGCAAGATTAAAGCTCATTAAAGCATGCAAAATGCTAATTTTACGGGTCATTGTCTCGCTTCATGGCAAGTCAATTTTTCTTCCATGGAGCATTGTTCAATCTTGTTGCTTTAATAGTACGTATCTGACTCATTTATGGATAAAAATTTGTTGAACAAAATTACTTGTATAAGCAACCATTGTCAACTAAATGGCAACACATCGTCTGCTCTAATGAAATTTTATGTTACACAAGTCCTTTAGTAACGGAAATACGACACTAAATTTTAGATATTTTTAAATATGTTCTACGTGAGAATTAAATGACATTAATAAATAGTCATTTAGAACATTGCAAAGATTTTTATTAATTTAAATGCATTATCATTCAATTTGTCAGTACATTTTTTTATCTGTTACTACAATATCATCTTGAATTTAATTTAATGCACGATATAGAGAATGCAAATTCTAAAATAGACGTGATGTGTAGGGTTGAAAATGTCTTCTAAGTGTAATCAATGTATGTTTAGGTGAAGAGCGTATAATTTTTTATATATATAAAGTATTAACATTTTACATTTTACATTTTAGCTAATAATAGAGTTACTAATAAAAAAATATTTTTACAAAATTATAATATTTAGTGTTTTTAATTCATTTGTAATTTGATTTTTAATAAGAAAGAAATATTATTCTATCAACAGGTGGCTTTTAATGTATTCATTAGCAAGACATTTTTTTTTACCAATTTCTGCAAAAAATATATACATTAAAATCTAGGTTTCCTTTGTTCACATTTAAGTAAATTCAAATTTCAGGTTGAAAAACATCTCCGATTATTCTGACACTATTTGTGGTGATGCTTGACGAGAACACTCCATTAATACCTGCAAAGACTCCAATGTTCCAGTGAGAAATAATGGAAAGAAAATTCGTTATACATTAAATATGAAATGACTAATCATGTGATTAAACACATTTGGGTATTTAATATATTAGACTTCCCTTTATTTTCCACTTAGCTTAATTAGGTTATTCTGTGTGCATTTTGTAGTAACAGATTATTTCTGTCTTTTGTTAGGAATATTCTGAGATGCTCTTCTTTATCACTGTTCATGTTTAGCGATTTGCCAATAATAGTTAAATCATAATATCCTACCAACAAATGGTAACTGTGATAGTTTAAGAGAATAAACACAATTATCTTCTCAAGACAAAGGTGTGTAATTCTATAGTGTATGCATAAAATAAAATGATTATACTTTTAAAAAACATATGAAAAAGAAAACATGCATCGTATTCATAGTTTATGATAAAGAGCTTGTAAAAAACTAAAGTTAATAATTTCATGAACAGAATTAGGTGCAAGATGGAATAACCGATACAGGAGAAAAAAAGGCATAAATTTATAGAGGTTAATGCCACGATCACATTGGTTTGGAATTTACAAAGCTAAATAAATAACAACGAAGGGAAAAAGAAAATCCGCTATGAGAAGGAGAGGTTCATAATATAAACTGAATATCACCTATCACCATCTAGATATTGTGATGAACTTGATTAGAGACCTCAGGTTGATTATCCAATGGCATGTATTGTGCCATAATTGCCCGTATCTCGGAATCCATATATCTCTGCACATAATTTATTTCCTCAAAAAGATTAACAATGAATTCTGGGATGAGTATGCATAAAAATGTTGGCACCAGATTAATCAACACTACTCAAAATAAATGAATAAAAAGCAAGGCCAGAAACATCAAAACTCATACCTGGATTCTGTACTTGTAAAATGCATATCCTCCAGAAACAGCAACAACCACGATGAGGATAATCATCCAGATGCTCACCCCTGAAGCAGAATATGCACCTGCATTTTAATAATTAATCAATTCATCTTTAAATCTCAATAGCTATACAAAGAATATCTACATTATACATAGGTACTTAGTGAGTCGGAATAAACATGTTGAAATCTTTGGAAAATATGCACAGACAAGTAGAATCTAAAACTTCTACAACAGGTTCAAGATAATGGAAAGCATACAAGAATTTTCCATTTTGGATTAAAATGCAAATGTGAAGCTCACAAGCTTCTCAAAGAAAACCTTGGCCCTATACAGATGGAAAAGGAAAGCTCAATGAAGCATTGTCAATTGACAAGTGCAAAGTCATGTTTTTCACAAAGAGACATCTATTAGTTTAAAATTTTGAAAGTGGTCAAGAAAAAGATAAAAATTTAAATAAGCCTCACCTAAACACGTGTCATTTTCTCGTGAGTAGAACAAACCACTACCACATTTGCACTCATAACTTCCCCAGGTGTTTTTGCATTTGCAACCTGGGCATTGACAGGCCGATTTCTCTTGGCACTCATCAATGTCTGCAACATAATCAGAAGAAGAAATGTAGAAAAACTAAATATATTGATAGAATAGCTAATAGCATGATTACTAACAACTGCAGATATGTAAATCAAATCCAGCTACCCTGCAAAATTCCACTAAGAGGAACCACTGTGATTTGTGTTTATCATTTACCAAATACAACAACACCAAATTTAAGGCAACAAGTACCTTCACATGACTTGACTCCATCACCTCTGAACCCAGGTGGACATGTACAGCCTTTTCTGTAGTCATCCTGCATTATTAATTGAAATCTACCATATCGGTTTTGCTACTGACCCTTCTAACCAAAAACATGCACAAAAGGTGAATGAGACAACTTACCAGACAAGCAGAGTAAGCCCTGCCATCTTGAGCTCCCTTCCAACAACCACCATTGTTGAAGTCACAGCTCAAGGTTCCTGATGCTGTTAAGAAATTCAAATTCTCACGAAAATGAAACCCATGAAAAAATTGAAATTAACATAGTACTAGCTTGCCAACCTCTCCCACACATAAACTAGGTAGAATGACAATCTTGGATAGAGATCAGATTGTAAACAGAACAAAAGGAGGTAAAAAATAGAAACACTAATTTGGTGGGATGGTGATGATTCGTGTTCTGTTTGGCTTGTTTCCGAAATAAATAGATTTTGATAGGTGTAGAATGGAGAATGAGGCAATTTATCTGAATTCGAGAACTATTTTACCTTCACAGTGGGTATATCCATCTCCAACAAATTTCACATTTTGTACAACAGGGCATTCACATACTCTTCCTCGGAACGTGTCCTATAATTAGAAAAACATAAGTAGATGGTTAAAACCA